TGTGCCCTTTGACGAGCCGCGGAATGCCGCATCTGATCAACGAGTGCGAGAGAGATAGAGGATAAAACGGCGGCTTGTCAAAGCCGAGTGTGCTCCTTTGACGTGCCGCATCTGAGCAATGAGTGCGAGAGAGAGAAAGGACAAAACAGCGTATGGACCAATCCAAGTTGAGCCTTAGTCCCCGTTTACGGCCGTTCTTTCCAGGGCTCATGGTCGGAAAGCACTCCGGTGTTTTTTCGGGGCACCCGTATTCGGGATGGCCACTACCACCCCGGACCAAATTACGAGACCCAGCCTGTAGATGTGCGAGTAGGTGAGTGTCCCCTCGACGAGCCGCGGAATGCCGCATCTGATCAACGAGAGCGAGAGAGATAGAGGATAAATCGGCGGCTTGTCAAAGCCGAGTGTGCTCCTTTGACGTGCCGCATCTGAGCAATGAGTGCGAGAGAGAAAATAGGACAAAACAGCGTATGGACCAATCCAAGTTTAGCCTTACTCCCCGTTTACGGCCGTCGTTTCGGGGGCTCACGATCGAAAAGGACTCCGGTGCTTTTGCCCCGGGCACGGGATTCTCCGGCCACTACCACAGTGGACGAAATTACGAGGCCCAGCCTGTATTTTCGCGAGTGTGTGTGTTCCCTTCGACGAGCCGCGGAATGCCGCATCTGATCAACGAGTGCGAGAGAGATAGAGGATAAAACGGCGGCTTGTCAAAGCCGAGTGTGCTCCTTTGACGTGCCGCATCTGAGCAATGAGTGCGAGAGAGACCGACGACAAAACAGCGTATCGACCAATCCAAGTTGAGCCTCACTTCCCGTTTACGGCCGTGTTTTCGGGGCATAGAGTATATAGAGTCGTAATGTAAGTGGGTGAGCTAGCGCCACTTTAAAGCATTTTCCAGGTCCAGAATTCCGAGACTCCTGTGTGACTTCGGGTCACTTTTTCGATACATAATCGATTGTTTGCGATACACGAGTACCCGGCCATCCGACGTAAACAAAGAAGATAGGAATCACCACTTATTCCACACCGCCATTTTTTATCGAACATGTATCGAAAAAGTGACCCGAACTCGGCGCACACCGGGCTCGGAACTCTTCGAGCAGAACATGGCGCCAGTTCTCCTATTTGCATTACGACTCTATGGTTCGGGGGCTCACTGTCGAAAAGGTAGTGAAAGACTTCAGCGGCGCAAAGGGTGATGCTAGAATTAAGTTGAGGTATAAGAGAGACAAACTAAGCGCCCTCCGTTGTTACCTACCAAGCATGCAACAAACACGAACAATCGAATTCCATAATAACTCCTGGATGCAACTATTCGAGCTCCACGGATGTCCGTGTTGCATATTCACGGAAAAGAAGGCGCTTCAATGCTCCAAGCACTCAACTTTCACCATTTCGCCGGCCGGCGCTGCAGCAGGTTGTACTGCCAGGAGCCAAAATGACACGATACATATACCCTCAATTCTTGGTTTATACCAAAAAGATATCGAATACGCACTAATATTTGCTCAAATGCGTAGGATTTGATTATCTTATGTGCTATAAGTAGAGCAGCTATTCGTGGCTAAGAGATGTCCTCGCAGTATAAGTGAAGAATTGAAGGCGCTCTGTCATTTTGGATCCTTGCAATTCTGCCCGCCGCACAGTGCGGCATCCTTATAGACGATTCGGACAAAAATCGGGAAAAGACTTTTAGGTTTAAATAATGAAGAAAGTAGCACCGACATAGGAAAACTCTTTGGCTTTATCAAAGTAAAACACTCAAAGGATAAAAAAATGTTATATCTCTGGATATTTTGCGTATTTTTCGAGAAAAGTTCGATCGAATTTTTCAACCTCGAATCAGCCCTATGTTAACAAAGTAAAAGCAACGTGAAACATCCAAACTTTAACTTCAAATATCTCCAATATTCGTGAAAGTTCTTAAGGTCTTTTTGGTAGAATTGAAGTTGGATATGTGAGGATTAAGAAAATGTCAACCACCTAGAGAATTTTGCGTTTCAAGCGAGAAATCTTCATTTAAAGTTGTCGCCCTTTTTCTGTGTATTTCTAATGGACCGGTGACTCTTGACCCATTTTCCGCCCACTTTCCACCCAAATTTGAACTAATTTTGGGGAAAAAATTTGAAAATGAAGCATCATTGTGAGTTTGAAATATCTTTAAGATGACAAACTCCAAAAAATATTCAGATGTCGAGTTTTTGATTTTTTTTTTTGTCCACAGAGGGCTGTACTTTGTGCTGCCGCGTTGTGCCGCGGGTAGCAGTGAGTGCCTGGAGAGCCAAAATGCCTTCATTTTCGGGCGTATGCTACACGGACATCCGGGGAGCCCAAATAGTTGTATCCAGGTGTTAAAAGGAAACTCGTTTAGTGTTCGTCGCATGCGATACCAACCGAGAGCGCTTTGCTCGTTCTTCTTTCGTACCTTGACTTATTCAGCGTCACCTATTGTTCCAACGTACTAAACTAATACTTATTTTTATCGTAACAATGTAGTTTTTCTTAAAAATGCATTGATTGATTAAATCAATGTTGTTCCTCGAAATCGTAAAAAAATCTAGATATTTGAGCAAAATTTGTATCAGCTGATTATTTAACACACGTTAACGAGTCGCCCTTTGTTAAGATTTTCCTTTTTTTTTTGAAGAACTGTTTTTGACGTTTAATCACGAATTTTTCGTAGAACGATTCTGCCGTGCTGGGGAAGAACGCCGTCGAGAGTTGCCAAATTGCCTCCGACAGATCACTAATTTTCAGGAAAACGTTTGAATATTTTTCTGCCAATTTCTCAGATAATTATTTTTGTAATTTGATCTGAAGTGTCTGAAAATTTCAAGGATGAATACTCTCAATTTTCCTCTAAAATAAACACTTTATCGTAGGAGATTTGGCAACTCTCGAAGGTTCATAAGGCGTTCTTCCTTAGCACGGCAGAATTCTCGCAGCTGGTTTAAAGTTCCTCACATAAAATCCTGGTTGAGGCGTCAAAAAAATCATGTTTCTTCATAGGTTCCCATTTATTTAGGGATGTGCACTTTTGGGGGTAAATCTCGGCACTCTCCCTTTTCGCTACTGGGCCATGCATTTCTCACTTTTTGGGTTTGCATTTTTGGAATTTTGGAATTTCACGCTTTAGGGTAGGGTACCGTCCATCTGAGACAGAGCACTTTTAAAGTCCTCTGTCTCTTGTCATTACATTATTATTATAATTATGTTGTTTTCTCCTTTCTCCTTTCACATTGCATTCATCCTCTCATCCATACATTAAAGAATGAATAATTGAAGGGATTGGAGGACAAGGCGCACAAGTGCAGTTTTTGAAAAATTGAGGTATTGACGATTGCAAGTAAAACTAGTCTGAATGCATGTTCTGTGAAAAATTCGCTTCCGAAGTCCAGTTTTTAAGCAACAAAAAGTCAGTTTGAACATTTTTTCCGCCATAAGGATCCATGTCATTCCGGAACTTCGAACACATATTTCTCGAAACGGCAAAAACTTCACTTGTGCGCACCTAACCTGATTTTTATCACTTATGCGCCTTTTCCTCCAAGCCCCTCAATTCTGCAGCACAATCTTGACTTGCAAACTAAATCTTGATGGGAGTATAAAGGTATCCCACTTTTTCTAAATATTTTCTCTAAAATAGAACTATCTTTAAGACCCATAGCTTCTTTACTTACACGTATTTCTAGTCTACACTTCCGAATCTCGTTGCTGTTCAAAATTGTCTAACCAAGAAATGAATTAAATTATTCATAAGAAAAAGAGGTGTATCACGATGACATTTTTCTTTTAAAATGTAGAAAAATAATAACTTGGGAGTTTTGAAAGTGCCTAACAATGGAAACCGAAAATCAATACCTATTTTTGATCCCAAACCTGCTGGTTTGCTGCGCTAAGAAATTGGACGTATTTATGCTAAAAGGAAACTACGTGCAAGTGGAAAGATGGGGTGTGCTCGAGGTGAGCTGGATGAGAAAGAATGTTAAAATGGATATAGTTCCTTTTGAGAAAATGGAAAAGCGGGATTTTACATTAAATCAAAGGAAACTGAGCGCTAACTCGTGAGCCGTGGACATATAACAAGAGCATTGTGGACAGGGCTCATGAGTTAAAACGCCCCAACGACGAGCTCGTCGCCGATGACGTCACTGGCGCTTTAAAATCCCCATTCATTCTTATGGCCCTTAACTAACGAGCACACCCCATTTTTCCACTTGCACATAGTTCCATTTAGCATAAATACGTCCAATTGGAGTTTCCCTTTAGATTCCCGATGCGTCAAAAATGGTCTTCTTTCCTGCCCACTGTAGGCTTCAGTGTTGACACGTAATAATTAGTCGGGCAAATTATTGGTTAAATGGCGATATGTCTCTATAAAACCCAAACAGATCCAAAATTATCAGCTATTGGTCAAAACCTAAATGAGGAAAATTCCTAATTTCAGAAAACTCATTTCTTTGCCTGAAACCGAGAAAAATTTAGAGAAGACACTAAAAGTTCAATGTTTCGATTATTCAGTAAATCTGAGTTGCTAGGGATGCAAATGTAGGATGTAGTGAAATTGTTTTTCTTGCTGGTTTTGAAAAATGAATATTCAAAAATTTTCGACAGCGGTCACAAAACTACAATCGGAAATTTTTCTGTGAACACATGGACTTTCCATTAGACTCATGCTCATACGTCATTGGATTCGAAACATGGCAATGAAAAATGACCATAACTTCGCACACCAGGTGAAAACAAACGAAAGTGTGCGTAATAGCTCTAAGACCGCGAATTTTGGAAAAACATGAACCAAAATAAGAAAGAGAGAGAACCGCAAAAACAGAGACGGCTCATGGATTTTCGTCTGGACTTCCGTTTCAGCACGAGATACATAATTGAAAGTTTGAACGTCCGATTGGCATTGAAACCATGTTTTCCAAACAAACCTGTTGACAAACATTTACAAACTCACCTGAGACAATGAGGTGACTTTTACGAGGCCCCGAAATTTTGAAGGAAATTTTTGGACTGTCTTTGATATCTTCGATCGAATTTGAGTCAGTTTCAGTTTCTGGTGTCGTGGGTCAGGTCCTCAGCGGTGACTGTTACCTGTCTATATTCAACTCCCAGGTATATTAAAATTCATTTAATATCCTCGTGAAAGTGTTCCTTTTTGCATACTTGCTGTTTTTAGTGCAGTGACCAGTGATTTTTAGAAGCTCGCCGTAATCCTTTTTCTGCCGAACATTTTGTGGAATAACTCCTCGTACCCAAATAGCAGTGATCGCGATTTTATAGAGGGCTATTTGGACCGCGATTAGTAGAAAGTAACCAAGCCACATCAGCTGTTGCCAAATTTAACTGGGCAATTCTATTTTTTACAAAAGAACGTTTGTGCGGATTCCTTTGAAAATTTTAAGGAATTTTCTTCGTGCCATGGAAAAAATTCACTGAAATTTGCACGAAAATCCGCACAACCGTTGTCATGTAAAAAAATTAAATTGCCCAATTAAATGTGGCGATAGCTGATGTGGCTTGGTTCCTCTCTGTTTATCGCGGTCCATTCATCAGAATATTATCGAACAAAATTCGTGATAAATTGAGATAATATTTCGATTTTATCGATGGCGCGATTTGACAGCGATAAAATTGCGACAAGATCGAGGATAATCGATCAGATGCTGATGATCCCAGCGATTTTTGGGCCAAAAGATCGTAAAAAAATCGCAACTTAACTTTAAAATATCGCGATTTTTCCATTGAAAAATGCTACTCGGGTAATGAACCACTAGACAAGGTGTGAATGTAAGCCTCATGAGGTATGCTTCCCATCAATATTTCATGTAGAACACAATTTTTGCAACTATAATTGTTGAAAGTAACTCCGTGTCATCATATTGGCGTTTTGCGATGTATAAATTCGAATTTCTCGCCTATAAGAAAAAACCGTGATCCACTTTCGTTAATCGCATACTTAACACTGTAAAGTCTCCGCGTTATAAAATTTTAAGAGCCTCAATCTTGGCGCTTTGGCTCAGCTGTTGCGTTTTTTCTTACACTTTCAACATCGCAGGGTGGGGAAACAACACTGCTCGATAAAGGGGTCTGCCAAAATCGGCGCAGTACGCAACTTGATTCACGTAGACTGTTGCTTTCCTTATGAGCGGGAAATTCAAATTTTTCGTGACCATTGATGAACAAAAGCTTTGAAATCTTGGTTAGATCTTGGTTCAATTTCAGTAATATTCGTTGCGTTGATCGTGTTTCACGTGATATTTTGAAGGGGAAACATTTACCAGAATATTTAAATTCGTACCTTGTCTAGTGGTCCCTTCCGGAGGTGCCTTGCACACATCCAAAAAAGAGGCTTCAAAAAAGCTCATCGATTACTCCAACTTGCATCGCTGGCAAATGAGAGGGCCAATAAAAACATAGATGAGGTCCCTTTGAGGCCTTCAGTTTGGACCTACGGGCAAAACACTTTACAAGCAAGCTTGTTAAAATATTTCTTTAGCTGAAGAGACAAAGTACTTCAACGACCCCGCATACTGCGCAAGATTTTACCGGAGGTCGAGAGACCGAATATGTCTCAGTTGTTGAATCAGATCAGTTCTACATCAATGATATTCTTCGAATACATAAGTTTTACCAAAGTATTGAACCACCCTTCCTTTATGTTTCAGCTACAAAATGTACGCTGGTTTTCACATCACATTCATCCTAGGAGCTATCTGTACCGTGTACTCATACAACCCTCCTTACAGAGAGTCAACAGTCTCTATTAACACCAAAAAATGGCTCCACACTGTCAGCGACAAATTTGTCAGTTTATCTGTCGATCCACTTGTTCTCATCAAATCCGAAAATTACGGGTGAGTTTGACCGTTTGTTGGATATCATTACTTCAAAACACTGCCACCATACAATTGTATCTATTCGGGACCGATTCGTATAGTGAGTGAGTATAAAGAAAGTTGATTAGCTGAGGTTGGCATTTTTTTAAAAAAAATTTAATTAAAAATTAGCGAAGCAAGTGTGTATTTAAGTGACGTCAAATTCATCGGCTAACATAAATGCTGGAAATTTCGGCTCATACAAGCTGCTCGACTTCAATAATTGACAGTATAATTCGTTTCTGACATGGGAATGTCGAGGCATTAATGTAAACATGGTATAATCAGCTTGCCCTTAAAATTAAAAAAAGAATAGCAGCCGTCTTTACTTCAACTACCCTCTCTCCATCTACGATATTTTTTTTAACATTCACTGTTTAAATATTGTGCGTGTTTTTACTTGTGAACCATAGATTTTGGTAAACTAAATTATGCTGATGATATTGTGAGTACATGGATAAAAAAAATGAACGGAGCCAATAGTTAAATAAGTCCTCTCGAACTTCAGTTACTCAACTGAATTAAAAATTCAATCATAAAGATTTTGACTCTATTGCCTATTGATCCATGAATGTTTTTTTATCACAGAAAAGCTGCCCTGAACATGGCGAAAACTTTATCACCGGCTTACCTTCGAGTGGGAGGTCCCGGTTCTGACAATTTCTCCTTCCAATCAAAAAGTGATGAACTTGACTTCATGAGCAACACAACAGTCACTGGTAATATTCACAGTTTCATTTTAAGTCCCTCTGTGTTCAAATACTCGAATTAATTTTAAGGGAGAAAATGAGTATAGCTACACTGCCGTGCTTAGGAAAAACGCCGTATGATCATTTGAGAGTTGCAAAATTTCCTTCGATAAAATGTTTATTTTTGAGGAAAGCTATGAATATTTTTACTCTAAATCTTCAGAATATTTAGATGAAACTGGGAACAAAATTATCTGAAAAATTAGGAGGAAAATACTCAGACGTTTACCAGGAAATTCGCGTTTTATCAAAGGAAATTTGGCAACGCCTGAAGGTTCATATGACGTTTTTCCTTAACAGGGCAGTACAGATCCTTTAAAGCTCAACCCTTAATCAATTACCTATTGCAGGGTCTACTTGGACCGAGTTAAGCGAAAAGGAACTAAGCCACATCAGCCATTGCAAAATGTGACTGGGCATTGGGCAATTCCATTTTTTACGAGAGACCGTTTGTTTGGATTCCTCGGAAAATTTTGAGGACTTTGCTTCGGACTATGCAAAAAATTCCCTGAAATTTGTACCAAAATCCGCACAACCGTTTTCATGTAAAAAATTAAAGTGCTCAATTAAATTGGCAATAGCTGATGTGGCTTGGTTCCTTTCTGCTGAATTTGTTTCGTATTATGCAGAAAATTCACTAAAATTTTCCCAAAAATCCTGACAACTGTTTTCATGTAAAAATCAAATTGCCCGATTCAAGGTAGTGGCTAGTGTGAATTGTTTCCATCCTGCTTGATGCGGTCCAATTGACATTATATTCCGCTTCCCCAGCAAATTATTTTTTGGGACGCTTCCAGCTCTTTTCTTTTACCTCCCCTTTCTGCGGGATGTAAATCCTAGAAGGGGTACTTGCTTCATATTAGGGGAACAAGGATTTTCCATATTGTATTATTTTGATTTAAATCATTTTGTTTGCATGCCTTCAGAAAATTTTTGAAACTTAAGGGATATTCTCTGTTTTATCGGAGCTAGAGATTAAAAGATTTATGAATTAATTTAACCAGCTCATTAAGACCAATTTTACCATTAAATCATCCTGAGGCGGATCTACACTGAAAAAAAAAATCTCGGTATATTTACTAAGAAAAGGGTAAAATTACCGAGAATTCAGGGTTCTGTTTGATCCCAGTTTTTTCTTGGTAAAATTACCATTTATGGAATTGGTAATTTTACCGAGAAATCTCGGTAAAATTATTGACTTTCTCGGTAATTTTACTGGACCCCGGTAAAAACGCCAATATTTTTTATCGACTGTGGTAGGATTACCGAGATAAAATGGCAAAGTTACCGGGAATTGATTACCAATAAAAGTGGTATTCTTACCTGAGAAAAACAGTAAAAATACCGGTTTTTAGGTAAGCTTACCAGTCTGTCTTCGTAAAATTACCAAAAATTGGTAAAAAAAGTGAAATGGTAAAGGTACCAACGGACCTTGGTAAAAACGCCGAGAATTTCTTTTCAGTGTAGGGTAAAAAGTTCCGTGTATCGATACTACTTTGATGTATGACTAGTCAAGAGTTTCGCTCAGGTTATTTTAAAGGATCCTACAGATTCTACTCGACCTTGATCTCTAAAAATTTGAAAAGCCTAGAGCATGGATGTGCCAAAAATCCTTTGATGTCTATGGACAATAAATACAGTTCAAGTCTAACGTAACGCACTTATTCCGATTTTTTTACCCCCTCCCCTTGTAATACACCTGTAACGCAACCCTACACCTCCCCATTTTGAATTACGTAAGGCTGGCTTGACACCCCATTTCAAAGAGGTCATTCGCGGGGGGCGGGATTTTCAATTTTTTGCACGTTTTTTGAAAACCGCCCCCCCGCTCAGATTTGCTACGTAACGCTAGGCTTGACCCCCCCTCCTTGTAACGCACTGTAACGATGGCTCAACTCCCCCCCTCCCCAAGTGCGTTACGTAATACTTGAACGGCTCCCTACGATGGCTGAGAGTCCTAAGGGAATTTAAAGTGATTCGTCAAGCTCAAGTGACGTGGTCGAACGGGCATGCGATATATCGCATTGATTAGGTCAAAAATCTCGGCTGATTTTGGATTTATAGCAAGAAAAAAGGACGATATCCCCTGCGCATGAACTTGAAGAATCATTCTAAACCCAAAAATTGGCAAAATTCAGAGAAATGAAGGCAGAATAGTGTTTGGAAAGAAACCTCGCGTTCGATTCAACTATCGATTTCTGTATCGAATGCGAGGTTTTTTTCCAAACACTATTCTGCTTTTATTTCCCTGAATTTTGCCAATTTTTGGGCTTAGAATGATTCTTCAGGTTCATGCGCAGGGGATATCGTCCTTTTTTGCTATAAATCCAAAATCAGCCGAGATTTTTGACCTTATCGATGCGATATATCGCATGCCCGTTCGACCACGTCACTTGAGCTTGACGAATCACCTTGAGCCAATAAACCTGCAGAAGAAAAAATCCCTACTATTTCCTGCATGTTGGTGGAGGGTCTCTTTTTGTCTCTTGATATTACGTTCCATGCTCAAGATTGCGGATGAAAACTGGGCTGGAACAGCTCCAACCGGGACCGCGGCTTAAATGGACGTATTTCTATCAAACGGAACTATGTGCTTTGTGACGTGAGCCCTGTTATGCACATATTCTTATGGGTCGCGGGGCTCATGTCTTAATGCACTTAGTTCCGTTTGCTAGAAATACGTCCAAATCATGGTCATAAAAAACGCAACCACCTAAAATGACTCGGGCTCGGAAACACGGTTGCTTGCTCTCTGGGCGCTGACACTTGCCATGTTTGATCAACTTCAGCGTAAATAAGTTTGTTTACACAACTCAGCCGAGATCTGCCGGAGGCAACGTGTAATAAGAGATCTTCACTGCGAAGCCACGCTGTTGACAAGTTTTTAATGAATGCTCATACGCACGAGAATCTGTGTTATCTCGCAAAAAAGCAGTTCGCTCCCTTTCTCTATGAATGAGCTATTTACGAGTTTTGATATCCGTGGTAAAAATTGGCCATAGGAGCTGCGTTTCAAAATACCATAGGAGTTCTTATAACCGACTGAAGAGGGCGATAGAAAATCATATAGCTGGCTGTAGAAAGTGGAAAAAATCATACGGCCGGGCTACACGAAGCGATACAAAATTATACAGCCGGGCTACAGTTCCTATCGCCGGGCTTTACACTGTATCGCCTGGCTGTTGCTTTTTCGCCATCGGCAATAAAAGGCTATAAGAAATTGAGTAGAAATTCTTGTGATTTGTAAATCCTTAAGTTTGCACGGAATCACTTTTACTACATATTTTTTTTCATCAATTAAAATGAGAATAATCCATACAGAGTGTGCAAACATTTCAAGTCATGAGTTGAAAAACGCTGACTCCGCGAGATTAAATATTAGAGCCTAACACAAAGCGGAGCGGCGGCGCACCGTCGCCTACAAACCTAACAGGGATACTTCACGCATTGCGCAATGCGTGAAGTATCCCTGTTAGGTTTGCAGGCGCCAATGCGCGTTCAGCGCTGGCTGCCCACCCGCCGCGCCGCGCCGCAGCGTACCGCGGCGCTTGAAGCAACTGTTTCACACCAGAGGTATTGCACAGTATCATACGAAATTGAAGGCGCTCCAACATATTAGGAATGTCAGGCATCCTTCAGAAGAACGGAGCTTTCCTCGCAAATAAAATCAAGATACTGCGGCCCAAAAAGAGAGCAGTAGTCCAAAAACTCACTAAGTCCTAGCGTCCGTAATTAGTAACGTTTAGCATACACTTTATCTCCAGGCTGTTGCTTAGTCGCCATCGGCTATAAAAGGCTATAAGAAATCGTGTTGCCGGCTATAGAAGCTATTGGAAATCTTACAGCCGGCTGTAGGTCTATGGTATTTTGGAACACAGATTCTACTGCCAATTTTTACCAGGGATAATTTGAGGGGCCTGGAAGACTAGACGTAGGACTAGACTACGGTTCCTTAGACGATCGGCTAGTGTGCAATTTTTACCTATTTACATGGTAAATCCCGCCCTAGTTCGACTTCTGTGGCAAAGCTGCATTGTTGCTGGGACTGAAATCAGAGTTACAGCAAAAGCAACGTTGTAATGGCGGATAGGAAACTAGGTTGAACATCGAACCCACCATAAGCATTGTAATAATGATCCTATTTTCTCCGTGAAGAACACCATATTTAAAGGGAAAAAGACCATTTGCATTTGAAGATTTCAAAAATACTTTATGGTAAAATTTGGCTTGTAATTTAAGTTGCACCAATTCTCGAGAAATTTCCTAACATTATACCTCATTTTTTTCCAGCGAGTGAGTGGGTTTTACTCAATGAGTTGCTTGAAGACGCTGGTTTGAACCTGATAATTTGTCTGAATGGCATTACGAGGGTTGATGGTGTCTGGGACTCGCGGAACACCCTCCAGCTCGTCTCTTTCTCAGACCGTCGCGGTTACAACATGGACTTCGAACTTGGCTACGGTGAGTTATATTTGAGTTATGATACTCGTTAATCGGCTTTGTGTGGATCTCTGGGAGTCAACAAAACTTGCTACCGTTTCCTCAGGACGTTGACTCGTTGGCGAAACGGAGAAACTTTCGCTGGGTAAAGCCTGCGATAACCTCAGCTGAATATGTAGATCAAAAGGGATCCAATACTTTACATTACGATGGGAATTAAATTAGGCCAAATTTAGTAGCAATCTGTTTCAAACTTAAAGCTCCAACTTTCCGCTGTGATTATTGCGCCTTGAATTCATAGAATAGGCAACACATACCACTACTCTACTCAGCAACTTCATAGATTGGCTACGTGCCACACCGCCTCCTACAAAATTGTAATACTGTATTGTTGCGATTACCAATAATTGCGATCAATGCTCGTGCTCGGTGCATCAATCACCACATCTCCTGAAGAGTGATTTTTCCCTCTAATATCGCTCGTGGGACAATTGCATTCCGACCAGGGTTGCAATTTTTCACGAAAAATAAAACATTAAAATTTCACGCGATATATTTCATGAAATTTCAGAAATTGATGAAAGATATTAAAAAAAACCGGTGCCGTTTCATGTTTCGCATAATGTAAAAATTGTGACTTTCTTCTATTTTCGTATGTTTGAGTGCGGGTTGCATACTCCAGCCCCTGAAAAATATGAAATATTTCACAGCCTCGTGAAAGTTCATGAAACATTTCACGGAAATTTCTATACGTTTTATTTCACGCGTGCAACCCTGATTCTGACAGATCGTGTTTATACCCTACAAGATTCAATCACCTAGATATTCGTTCTATTCTTTCACTAGCACAATACTTAAACAATAGAAAATTTGCAGGTGTCTGAAATTTGATGGATCTCGTGTTGAAGTGAAAACTACTGGGTGAATTGAACAATTATTGGAGAAGATATGACAAAATGATTTGATCTGCTAATATACGTGTATTTAAATGGGAAATGCCGTCACTAGGCGGTGCAGTTTCTCACTTTTAAATCTTTGTTTATACTATTTCCCACATCAGAAATCAATTATAAAGAATACTCTAAAATCAGCTCTTCAAAGCACTTTCAGATGGAGCAATAAACAATTTGCATGCAAATTCTCCACATGAGTACATAGAGTCGTAATGTAAATGGGAGAGCTAGCGCCATGTTCTGCTCGACGAGTTCGGGTCACTTTTTCGATACATGTTCGATCCAAAATGGCGGTGTGGAATACGTGGTGATTCCTATCTTCTTTGTTTACATCGGATAACCGGGTACCCGTGTATCGCAAACAAGCGATTATGTATCGAAAAAGTGACCCAGCGTCACACAGGAGTCTCGGAATTCGGGACCTGGAACATGCTTAAAAGTGGCGCCAGCTCACTCGCTTACATTACGACTCTATGTACTCAATGATTCTCCATTACCAATGACTGATTTTTCTATATTGGCAGAATCTCAATGGACCGTGGCAGAAGGGGGCACCTCCCCGGGCGCCGAGATGGGACGAGATATCGTGAGGCTTCGCAAAATCTTGGACTCATACCCCCGCTACACTCCCTCGATGATCATCGGACCTGACCTAACCAGACTCGTCAAATCTGAAGACGTTGCCTTCGCCCGGAACTACTTGCACGAAGCTGGAAACTCCCTGTCCGCTCTGACGTTACATCCGTGAGTATCATTGTGAAAACTTTAAGTAGGGAAAATTGGACGTATTTCTGCCGAACGAAACTATTTGCAGTAAGACATGAGCCCTGAGACACATAGGAATACAAGCGTAACAGGGCTCATGTCATAATGCACATAGTTCCGCTCGGCAGAAATACGTCCAATTGAGAGGCTCGGAGGACACGGCGCATAAGTGTGCAGTGGCGTGGCTTGCTTTGCGATATATCGATTTTTATGCCATTTAAACCTATTAGAAAGGATCGATAATCAGGGTGTTCGCAGCGAACACCTTAATAATCGATTCTTTACCATACGTTTAAGTGGCAGAACAATCGATTTATCGCAAAGCACGCCACGCCACTGAACTGTAGTTTTTGCCATTTCAAGAAATACGTGTTGGAAGTTTCGAAATGACATAGATCCTAATGCTGCCGTGCTAAGCAAGAACGCCGTAAATCCATCAAGATTTTCCCTCATTTTTTGGGACTCTAACACTTCACAAAATATAAACCGTTTTACCCATGCACCTCAAATTTTCAGGTTAAGTTTTTTATATTATTTGCGAAAGAATTCTGTAAAAATATTGTCCCAAGGTACGCAAGTTTTTCTGCTATGATACATTGTTTCCAAACAATTTAAAATGGCGTTTACGGTGTTTTTGCGTCGCACGGCAGAATGGGGGAAAGAATGTTTAAACTGACCCTCTCGATGCTTAAAAATTGGAATGTCGGAGCGAATTTTTCACAGAGTATACTTTAAATTTTATTTTACTTGAAATCATTAATATCTAAATTGCTTTAAAAACTTCACTTGTGTGCCTTGCCCACCAAGTCCGTCAATTTACGTTTCTTTCATTAAAATAGATGCTCAAAACGAGTATGATGAAAATCGATCGCGGGACGGAAACTCTATTGATTCATATAGCACTCATTTTGAGTTTCTGTTTTGATCGTGGACATAGGAGCTATCGTTGAAGTCATTATGAAAATGGCTTTAGTAAAACAATTTTGACGAAGTTGGGTAAAAATTGCCTTACTCGAGTAGCAGTCGAGATAATTTGCGATTTGATATCGCAATTTTATCGACGTCTATTTATTGTAATATTAAATTGCGATAAATTGCAATTTTATCGCAGAAATTTGTTATAAAATCGCGGTTTTTTCCATAGCGCTAGTGAACGATAGTGATGTTTTTTTTTTCGAAATCCCTAATTTCTGTCCTCAAACTCTGAATTTCATCGAAAGGACCAACTTTTAGAATTTTGGGATAATATTCTTGCCGAGCGAAAAATGATACGGAATTAATCCTTTGAGTCGTGGAACAGTTATCTCACATTTGATACCCTTATATTAAGGTATGCTTAGGCACATTTGGACGTACGTATGCTAAACGGTAACAGAGACGCGTGTGAAAGATGAGGTGTGCTCGTTTGAACTGCATAAGAAACAATGTTAAAGAGGGCCTAATTCCTTTTGGGAAAATAGAAAAGTGGGATTTGACATTAAACCAAAAGGAACTAAGCGCCAACTGTAAACTCATGAGCCGTGGGCATATGAGAAGAGCGTTGTTGACAGGGCTCATGAGTTAAAGTGTTCCATCATGGATCTCGTCGTGCCCGCGCTCGGTTGTCATTGCTGACGTCACTGGCTCTTTATAGTTCCCATTCATTCTTACGGCCCTCAACTAGCTAGCACACCCTTTCCTTCCCACCCATCTCTAGTTCCTTTTAGCATGTATACGTCAATTGGACTTATTTCTGTCAAACGGAACTATGTGCATTATGACGTGAGCCCTGCCATGCATATATTCTTATGGGTCTCAGGGCTCATGTCTCAATGCGCATAGTTCCGTTTGACAGAAATACGTCCGTTTTGCCTCACTTCGTTGCACACTCCCGTGGCAGTCTTGTTGATCAACGTGAAACCAGTGCAGCTACTATCATGACTGCACTGGCACCAGATCAATATGCCTGGAGCAAACTCTCCATATGCTGCGGCTGTCATAAACAAGTACGCTGCCAAGTTTGATGTAGGTTCGAGAGACTTTCGTACACTAAAAAAAAAATTCTCGGCGTTTTTACCAAGGTCTGTTGGTACCTTTACCATCTCACTTTTTTTTACCGATTATTGGTAATTTTACCAAGACAGACTGGTAAGCTTACTTAAAAAACCGGTATTTTTACTGTTTTTTTCAAGAAAGAATACCACTTTCATTGGTAATCAATTCCCGGTAACCTTGCCATTTTATCTCGGTAATTCTACCACAGTCGATAAAAAATATTGGCGTTTTTACTAAGGTTCAGTAAAATTACCGATAAAGTTAATAATTTTACCGAGATTTCTTGGTAAAATTACCAATTCCATAAATGGTAATTTTACCAAGAAAAAACTGGGATCGAATAGAACCCTGAATTCTTGGTAATTTTACCCTTTTCTTAGTAAATACACCGAGATTTTTTTTTCAGTGTACTGTCAACCATTTGGACCCTTTTTGGGCCAAAATGGCTATACAAATTTTAGAAGTAAAAAGGTCAAAATTCTGACCGTCGGTTTCCGATCGTTGACCTTATTCATTTTGTCTTCACCACATTCTGTCGAATGTAAGTAAATCCCGATGAATTATTTTGCCAAAAAAATCAAAATGATCGAAGTAAATTAAATATCCAAACATTTGGGGGTAAAGCACTTTTAAAATTCCCATTTCACTGTTTTTTCCAGCCGATTTTCAAGTTCCTTAAAAGCAGAAGAGGATCCAAGCATGGAAATGTTGCAAATGATCGCTCAATTGGAGACCAACGTTTGGGGGAAAGACATGCTGGCACGCCTCTCCGGAAAAGCACCTCCAAGGAAACCCATTTGGATAGGTAATTACATATGCTATTCACATACGACAAAAATGACCTATTCTACCGTGCTAAGGGAAAACGCCGTATGAGCCTTCAGACATTGCCATGGGTCCTTCAATAAAAACGAGTTTACTCGGAAAATTGTTAACGTTTTTCTGCAAATTTTTCAAACAAATTTGTTCACAGTTCAATCTGAAATATCTGAAAATTTCAAAGAGAACTAAGCATAAATTTCCTCAAAAATTCATGTTTCATCCGGCAAAATTTGGCAACTCTAGAATGTTCTAGCGGCATTTTTCCTTGGCACGTCAGTATTATTTTGCAAAAAGTATCCAATTTTCACTTCAGTGAAACTTCATTAATAGTTTATATAGTAGATACAGCTCTTGAAGATTTAGGTTTTTTTTTAAAATTATTTTTATTTGTTTTCTTTTCATTACAAAAAAGAAAATTCCGCACAGGATTGTGTTCACTCCTTTGTGTACCGTGGTAAAAATTGGCGATAAGCGCTGCGTTTCAAAATACCATAGGAATTCTTATAGCCGGCTAAAGAAGGCTACGGAAAATCAGATAGCTGGCTGTAGAATGCGGAGAAAATCATACGGCCGGGCTATACGAAGCGATACAAAATTATGCAGCCGGGCTATATCGATTATAAAAGGCTATAAGAAATTATGTAGGAATTCGTGTGCTTTGGAAATCATTAAGTTTGATACGGAACCACCCAAATAATTACAAAACACACATTATATTTTCCTTTAATACATATTTTTTTTCATCAATTAAAATGAGAATAATCCATACAGGTTGTGCGAACATTTCAAAATCATGAGTTGAATAACGCTGACTCCGCCAGATTAAATATTAGAGCCTAACACAAAGCGGAGCGGCGACGCACTGGCGCCTACAAACCTAACAGGGATACTTCACGCATTGCGCAACGCGTGAAGTATCCCTGTTAGGTTTGTAGGCGCCAATGCGTGTTCCGCGCTGGCTGCCCGCCTGCCACGGCGCTTGAAGCAACTCTTTCGCACCAGAGGTATTGCACAGTATCATAAGAAACTGAAGGCGCTCTAATATATTAGTAATGGCAGGCAATCAGGCATCCATCAAAAGTACGGAGCTTTCCTCGCAAAATAAATCCAGATACTACGGCCCAAAAAGAGAGCAGTATTCCAAAAACTCACCAAGTTCTAGCATCCGTAATTAGTAACGTTTAGCATACACTTTATCGCCTGGATGTTGCTTAATCGCAATCGGCTATGAAAGGCTATAAAAATTGTGTAGCCGGCTATAGAAGCTATTGGAAATCTTACAGCCGGCTGTAGGTCTATGGTATTTTGGAACACAGATTCTACTGTCAATTTTTACCAGGGTGACTTTCCTCACAATGACGTAGATTTTTACTTGAGGGAACTTAAAAATTATAAACGACCTTACAATTTAGTTCCGATGACATTCTCAATGAATAGATACTTATTCAAGCACAAGTAAGGCGTTTTCAGCTATTTTTGTATCCTTGACCAAGTCCATTTGCGATTATTTTTAACACTACTCCTAGGCGAGAAAGTTCCTTCATATCGTCGCCCCTTTGACGTAAAGGCGTAACCTTAATTTCCTTTGAGCTCTGTTTTCTGTGTAACTCTACGCTCTCGGAGGCTCATGTTGAAATTGAGATACGCCCTTATATACTGCCGTGCTAAGGAAGAACGCAGTATGAACATTCGAGAGTTGCCAAATCTCCTACCATAAAATGTTAATTTTCGAGGAAAATTATGAATAATTTCCCCTTGAAACTTTCAGGACCTTCAGATGGAATTTCGTAAAAAATATCTCAAAAAATGATTGGAAAATATTCATTAATTCACCAGTAAATTCGTGTTTTATCAAAGGTAATTTGGCAACGCCTGAAGGTTCATACGGCGTTCTTCCTTGGCACGGCAGTTTACTAGAGGATCGACGATATGAGCGGTTGCAACCTGCGGTAGGATAATTTTAGAGGTCTTGATAGCCTTTAAATATTTCATCACCGTAGGGAAGCACTTAAATTGCTGGAAATAGCCGCGTTTTTCATGTATAAACGCCTCCCCTCCCACTTTATTGTAGACTGACATCGATCGATCCAAAACGCAATTATTCCGACGTACACCCGGTAGATATACTCCATTGATCAGAGGCATTGCGTGAAAATAAATGCAATGGCGAGGTCTTAAGAAAAAATGACTTTCCTTCGCCTCTTGATATAATTAAACTATCGATTTCTTGCACAAGTGGACATCAGTGCGCGAGATCACGCTGCCGTCTGTTAAAAAAATATCGTTTGTTCCGTCTGATTTGGTGTTGAATGAAACAGCTTTCCATTAACACTTGGCAATCAATAATGTACTTACGTAACGTTTCATGTGTGTGGGCTAGTTGGCTGCAGTAAGGAGTTGCATTGTCGATTGCCAAAGTGCCGATGGATCAGCTTATTTTACGTTGTTCCGCATTGTGATACGATGAAATGTTGCAACTGTCTTTCGGGTGTCATTTGTCGCTGGGGTGCGTCACTTGAGGTGGTTCTTTGAAAGATGTAAACATTATTCGATACTCATTAATCAACGTAGAACTGACGGTACAGTTACATGCAGTGGCGTGGCGTGAACAATCGATTATCGATATCTCGCCATTTGAAGCTATGGTAAAGAATCGATTACTAAGGTGTTCGCTGCGAACACCCTGATAATCGATCTTTTTTCATAGGTTTAAATGGCATAACAATCGGTATATTGCAATGCACGCCACGCCACTGGTTACATGTTTTGGGTAAAAAAAGTGTTTCGGTCGGCATTGAAGCCATCGGAGAGCTGTTAGAGAATTTAGAATTTTTTTTATATTTATTTATTTTTTTTTATTTTAATGACGCTGAATGTGTATCCTGTTGAAAGGATGAGAGTATTCAGCCATGACATGAATCTGTCAAAAGGATAATTGGATTACATTTTGCAATAAGGAACCACTATCTCTGGCTCTACCATAAAGGCACCCTTGTGCATAGAGAAACTAATGGCATATATCGACGGTGAAACTACCAAACCACGTATCTCGTTTGCGGTGTTTAAAAATCTACGCTCGCATTTTATTTTTTTGAAGTAGACCAAATCAATATCATTCCTTGAAATTTTCACAGAATTTTCTCCGCACGAAGAGGAAAAATCACAGAAATTTTCAAGACTGGACGTTGAGTAGTTTTTCATTTAAAAAATAAAGTATGACAGGAAGTCTGCGACGTCGCAAACCGAGATACGTGGTTTGGTAGTTTCACCGTCGATATGTTGTTTCTTAAAGAAGTCAGAAATAGTGGTTCCTTATTGCAAAATGCGGTCCAATTCATGTTCGCAAGGGAACATGCTTCACCTCCTACGGCAAAACATGCTCGTTTGCCACCATGTGCATGCAAGCTTAGTCCAATAGCCCGAAAAATGATTACACGCCAGTAATTCAGTCCATACCCGTCAATCAAAGCTGTCCACGAAACATTGCATCCAAGTAAAGATTGAATTTCGAGACTCGATTTTTTTTCTCCCAAATTTCGATATTTCTTTCCCTCATCTGACATTGAAAATTCAATTGTCGGGGAGACATGACTGTTTTGAACGAAACCGGTTGGAAATGAGGAGTTTCCGCCGATTTCCGGCAACGAGGCTGCATGGAAACGGCCACAATGAAGTGTCAATCTGCTTGGGTGTGCTGAATCTGGGTCATGAGGATAACGTGAAAAAAACCTGAACTATGCAAATCATCATTTTCCGTGACAATGACCTTGATGAGTAGGTACTGGTGATGCTGCTTTGTTTCTTCGGAAAACTCCTCATGTCTCCTCGTCGCTACTCTGACGTAAGGGCCGGTGGCGCGGCGTGGTGTGTATTGCGATGTATCGATTATTCTGCCATTTAAACCTATGGTGAAGAATCGATTATTAGGGTATTCGCTGCGAACACCCTGATAATCGATCCTTTTTCGTAGGTTTAAATAGAATAACAATCGATATATCGCAAAGCATGCCACACCACTATAGTAAGGGCTATCTCGATTTCCACGTGAACCCTGCTTCACATATAGCTCCATGCTTTCTAGAGCTCATGCGGAAATCGAGATGCGCCTTAACGTCAGAGGAGCGACTGTGCGATATATCGAGTGTTCTGCCATTTAAACCTATGGTAACGAATCGATTATTAAGGTGTTCGCTGCGAAAACCCTGAGGTTTATATGATATATCGCCAGGCACGCCACACCAGCGGTCTTGTCAGACGTTGACTCGACCGATTATGAAGCTTCAAGTAAGCTCTCATCGATCAGTCTCGTTTAAAATGGGTTTTTTGCAGTAGTCTCTCAAGTTACTTGAAATTACCTTAATTTTAGCGTTACATCTTTGACCTTTAATGGCTAATACAGGAAAAAATTTAATTGCTGATTTAACAATTCAATTGCTAAAAAAATTACTGCTATGTTTCAATGTAGATTTTACAACAAAAAAATGCTAGTTTAACCACCCCCGTGGTTAAACTAGCTAACAATAGTAGTTCAAGTAGCATTTTTTTTGGTGAAATCTACGTTGAAATATTGCAGTCACTTTTTTTAGCAATTGAATTGTTAAATCAGCAATTTAATTTTTTCCGTGTAGCAAGATTATCCATATCGATGGTGAAACTGCAAAAGTGCGTACATCGGTTATGGTGTTTGAAAATCTCCGCTCCTATTTTATTTTTTAAAAGGAAACCGAAGCAACATTGTGGCTTGAAATTTTCACAGAATATTCTTCCTATAGAGAAGAGAAATATCCGAAATGCTCAATAAATGATGTTAAGTGGTTTTTCATATGAAAAATAAAGTATGACAGGAAGTCTGCAACGCCGCAAACCGATATACGCATTCCTGCAGTTTCACCATCGATATGTGAGCATTGCTTCCTGGGTACTTCCGATTTGTTTCATCTATTGAACTCGATACGTGCAAGTTGATTTCCATGAAAGAAGCATCTTGCCTCTCTGAAAATTGATAACCGATTATTATCGAAATCACGCGTACGCGCCAATCTCTATTTTGGTGGTAGAAGGGTTGTTTTTCCTATGTTTTCTCTGGTATAATCACCCATATCTGATCTCAAAATAGCCCTCTGAAAGAACATAGATTTTTTGGAATTCGAAGATTGTCAACGAAGCTAATAAACGGGTTTTCTTATTTTTCTCTCATTCGTACTATGGCGCTTACGTGATATGGAAAATAATCGGTTCCGACGAGATACCTACGTAACTCACCAAGATGTAGGTCGAATATTAAAAGATGCCAGTTTTTGAGACATGATATTGGTTCTAATGTAATTTTTTGAAGAAAATAAGGTTGCCGTTATGATAGAAATCTAGTGGGAAGATGCTTCATTTCTACAGCATCCAGAAATTATACGTTTTTCTGTTTATTTTAGGGAATTTTGGTCGATTGTGAGATGAGTGGTCTTTGTACCTAAGCTTTTCTGAAATTTAATCCCTTAAAAATAATATTTCTCTTTGAGATTATGCTATTTTTAAAAATTTACTCTGAAACTTCAATTGAGGGGCTTGGAGGACAAGGCGCGCAGGTGCAGTTTCTACTATTTCGAGAAATACGTGTTCGAAGATTTGAAATCGCATGGATTCAAATGCCGAAGAGAGAGTTCCAACTGATTTTTTGATGCTCAATAATAGGATTTCGGGAGCTAATTTTTCAAAGAATATACATATTAAGACTAGATTTACTTGAAATCATAAATAACTCAATTTGTTCAAAAACTGCACCTATGCGCCTTGTCCTCCAAGCCCCTTATTTTATTCAAGGTATCATTTTTCTGAAATAAAATAATCCATTTTTGTACCCTGGAATAACAGGACTATCGTAGTTTCTCGAGTGAAATTTGAATAAACGAGACGAGAATACCGCTTCGGAGATGGTGTCTCTGATATGGACGTAGTTATGCTGAAAGGAAATATGTTACGCGCAAACCTTAAACACATAGTTCCTTATAGCATAAAAACGTCCATATAGAGGTCAGAATCTGTTTGTTTGGCAAGATTTAAACTAATTGACCTTTATCTCTCTAAATCGGCAACTCTATTAAGGTTTAATGACATGCCTCATGAATTTCAGCCGAATCAAGGACCAAAGAAGCACCTCCGCAATTCAAGGATGCCATCAACTGGCTGCGACGATTAGGTGCTGCTGCCAAGTTAGGAGTCCAAGTTATGATGTCTCAGCCCCATCCATCCTCGTTCACCAACCCCACCCCTGTGAGAATTTTTCCATTTTCATCTTCTTGTTTTTTTGTGAATTTTCCGATTATGAAAAGAAAAAAGAAAAATCTAGAGGTCTCTTCCCTTCAATATAGATGGGGTTGTTGCCAGGGTGGGGGATTTCAGAAAAAACAAATATTTACCGCTAGATTTTTTAGCGAGAAAAGCGATGGTGCCGTCCAAAAAGTTCTAAATCGAGTCCTAAAGCCCGAAAAAGCTCGCTAAAATTCGATAAAACCGCACGTGGAAATGACCCCGTCGCCGTGCGTAGTGACGTCAGAGTTGAGGCGCGGGAAAAATCCCGTTTCAAATTAATTTTGAACTTAAAGAGCTTTTTCTCCATGTTCCCGTCGTCAGAAATTTTCTTTAAAAATATCTTCATAATCAAATCAACTCCAAGTTTTACAAACTGAATCTCAAAAAAAATGCATGCAATAACCCCATTGCGTGATTATTTTTTCATTTCGAAATGTGTAACTTCCCTGGTAAAAATTGGCAGTAGAATCTGTGTTCCAAAATACCGTAGACCTACAGCCGGTTGTAAGATTTCCAATAGCTTCTTTAGCCGGCGACACAATTTCTTTTAGCCTTTTATAGCCGACGGCGACTAAGCAACAGCCTGGCGATAAAGTGTATGCTAAACGTTACTAATTACGGATGCTAGGACTTAGTGAGTTTTTGGACTACCGCTCTCTTTTTGGGCCGCAGTATCTTGATTTTATTTGCGAGGAAAGCTCCGTTCTTTTGAAGGATGCCTGACATTCCTAATATGTTGGAGCGCCTTCGATTTCGTATGATACTGTGCAATACCTCTGGTGTGAAATAGTTGCTTCAAGCGCCGTGGTACGCTGCGGCGCGGCGCGGCGGGCGGGCAGCGGGCAGCCAGCGCGAAACGCGCATTGGCGCCTTCAAACCTAACGGGGATACTTCACGCATTGCGCAATGCGTGAAGTATCCCAGTTAGGTTTGAAGGCGCCAGTGCGCCACCGCTCCGCTTTGTGTTCGGCTCTAATATTTAATCTGCCGGAGTCAGCGTTTTTCAACTCATGACTTTGAAATGTTTGCACACTCCGTATGGCTTATTCTCATTTTAATTGATGAAAAAAAATATGTAGTAAAGGAAAAAATGTGCGTTTTTTAAATATTAAGGTGATTCCGTACAAACTTAAGGATTTTCAAAGCACAAGAGTTTCTACACAATTTCTTATAGCCTTCTATTGCCGATGGCGAAAAAGCAACAGCCAGACGACAAAGTGTAAAGCCCGGCGATAGGAACTATAGCCCGGCTGTATAGTTTTTTATCGCTTCGTGTAGCCCGGCCGTATAATTTTTTCCACTTTCCACAGCCAGCTATATGATTTTCTATCGCCTTCTTCAGTCGGCTATAAGAACTCCTATAGTATTTTGAAACGCACCGCCAATTTTTACCAGGGTTTCTGACCGAATCTAAAATTGACGCTGGTGCGACATCTGATCCAATCTCTTGGAATCTCTCATGAGACACGTCCCTTTTCGAGAAAATTTAGTTGGAGCAGTAGTTCAACCTTCGTCCGGAACAGTAAACTCCGTACACGGAAAAAACAATTTTGTTGTTGAAAAAAGTGTCTAACATGTTTCAATATAGATTTACAATTAAAAAATGCTAAATTAACCACCCCTGTGGTTAAATTAGCTTTCTGCTATTGTAAAATGTACATTTGAAACATGTCGGACACATTTTGTAACAATTTAATTGTTAAATCAAGAATCAATTTATTTCCATGTAGCTGCAAGACCGTGCCTAAAACGATATATTATTAAAAAATTAACGCTTGCATTTTTCCCAAGTTATTTGGATTCGTAGTTACGACTTGTAATTTTCCAGGATTTTTGGATGATGACGTTACACAAGGCTCTCGTTGGCAGACAAGTTTTGGATTCGAAATTGATATCCGGTAACAAAACAATGATCGAAGCTTACAGCCACTGCACGCAGACTGTCCACAACCCAGACACAACGATTTTGGATGACACTCTTGTCAAGTAAGAATTTATTTTTTTTTTTTAATCGCTTTCCTCACGATAAGGCTAAATTAAACAAATAATCTCAGAAACGAATACACAGGAAATCGGCATCCCGGCAAATTTAATCAAAATTAATTTAATCAAAATTTAATCAAAATTATAAAAGTCTAGTAAGCTATCCATGATTTCCGCTGAGCTATGTCTTTTTAAAGGCGCTCCTAGAGATCAATTTATGTGATACAACTATTTCAACCTTTGAGTAGTTAAAATTGTATACACGCCGAGTTGATGGAGAACTTATTTTCTCCCTATTTGAATTATTCGTTCGGACTTAAAATCAATATCCAAAGGATATGAATTCTGTGTGAATCTTGCGCATTCAGTATAACTCATCAATGGACCTCTAAATCACACACTAGGGGCCACTCCCCTGACCTGTATGCGGCCGACACCTTTTTATCCTTTTTATGAGGACCATCCCCGAAAATCCTTTACTTTTTGTTTTCATTCTTCAATCATTTAAGGTAGAAAAAACTGAGTATATTTACAGATTAAACATGTTTTTAGCCTTAATTAAAGCCTAAATTATATGGAATCGGGCATTCGGGCACATGGGACGCTTAGAAGGTCAGTTTTCCTAAGCTGCCATCGCCGCGTTTCTCTCAATTCCAGGCGCATGTTAACAGTGCCTTTTGATGAAACAGATTTTTTAAAAAAAAACCAATGATACTTTGCAGATGAAAAACTATCAGTGCCAAAAACAAGTAAAATTTTAAATATGTAAAAATTACTCAACACAGCTACCATTAAGACAAACATTTTTAAATGAAGTCAAGGGACCAGTTTCAGAATTCGTGGGCTGTTGAATTCTTAATGGAGTTTTGGACCAACTCATGAAGATACTCTTAGCTTACTTATCATTCCACCCAGAGATTCCTTTAAATCTAATTTCCTTTGAAAATTGATGAACTTTTTGACTCAAAGGAGACATTTCGAAAGATGATTCTGGACACAGACGGAAAAGCCAACAGCGTCCTCATCATGAATTGGCTCATTTGTAGCTCATTCAAAAATCTGAATGCAGGTTGGTTTATTTGATAATATTGATTGATAATTAGCAGACATATTATTAAATTGAAATAAATTACAATTTGTAAAGAAAAGTAATTTTGGTGGAAACAGGATTGATTCTAACACCTCATTTTGTAATCCGCAGGTACGAAAAAGGAGCTGTGACACTTTTTGGAGTGAACATGGCAGATGAGAAGATCCGACTGAATCTGAAGGTCAACATTAAAGAGGAAGAAATCCACAAATATATTTTAACCGAAGGAAAGGACCCAGCGACTGGAGAGAGGTGAATAAAATCTGGAGTTATTTAATTTCACTAGTGATTGCTAAAGAGTTGAAAAAGCTTAAAAGTTAAGAAATCAGTCATAAAGAGCCGACTCTACATTAATGATAACGCCTCGACGCAACTGTTCCTGCTCAGAAGCTGCGTGTATTGTTTAGCGAAAAAATTTAAGGCGCCATAGCTCTTCCTTAACTTTTCACTTCTATCTTATTCCTAACTTACCTTCATTACCAACTTAATTTTAAAAAAACAAAAACCCTCTTCGCCTTCAATTGAACATAGACGTTTTTGGATTACATGAAAAAACGTGGAAGATTTTGCTTACTTAAACTCGAATAGAGCTAAACTCTCTTATCGCCAAAGTATCAGTGACCGCGATTAATTGCGCTTCGATTGGAGGATGTATCACGATTTTATCAACGTCGATTTGTTGCAATATTATCGGATAAAAATTGCGGTAAATTGCAAAATCTTTGCATAAATTTGCAATAAAATCGCGATTTTATCGGTGACAATTTATCGCAATATTATCAGAAAGAAAATCGTGATAAAGTTGATAAAATTGCGACAAGATTGAGAATAATTGCTCAGATGTTGATGCCCCTGGCAATTTTATCGTCAAAAAATCGTAAAAAATCGCAACTTAATTTCAGATTATCGCGATTTTTCCGTTGAAAAATGCTACATGGACATGCGTATAAAATTTTCTGTCTCCTTAGTTACTCAATTTGGCGCAGGAAACTAATGACAGGTTCATTTCTCCGTTTATTTTTAGAATCACTCTATTCAACAACCAAAAATTGACCTTGTCTCCTGACGGCGAGATCCCGATACTGACCCCTAAGATCCGGAAACCAAACCGATCCCTGGCGCTGACCCTCCCGGCCAAGTCCATCTTTTTCGTCGTAATTCCGGACATCAAGGCTCGAACTTGCATGCTACCACTCAGCGCCTTCTTGGAGGACACCGCTCAGGTAGATTCTTAAAATTAATTGAATCAATTGACATTTAAAGCAGCCTATCCATGAAAATAGGTGGAAGTTTTTCTGTGAAAGAAATCTGTTATGAATTTTCTTGAAATAAAAAGAAAATTTCCAACGTCACACAATGGATCGAGTGAATCAGAGAGATCAGACATAAAAGCTTCGACTAAAACTGCAAACTAAAACTTCTGTGGTAGAGAAGAGTCTCTATAAATATTCCTTGGTGGGTGTAGATAGGTTGGCCTATTATCAAGGAGGTGCCCCTCTGTCCATCTTTGCTCTGTGTTTCAGTTTGCACTGATTCCTACCTCGGTCAGTTGCATGATCATTTTCTTGTTTTAATTTTTACATTTTTTAGCTTCTGTTCCAGTTGACAATGGGCATGTAATTGGCCCGAAACGTCCTGGTTTGTTTTATGTCTCCTCAAGCCTTGTATACTCATTTGTTTTGAATTTCAGTGTGTTTTCATTCTTAAAACTGCAAATTATGGTGTTCAATTTTAAGGAGTGCTTCTGGAAGGAAATTTCACGAGAAAACCAATGGAACCATTTATAAAACCTTAAAGTTTGCATAGAAGGAGTTATGAGCTTTTAAAGCTTCCAAATTTTGTCCGACCTCTCCCGTTGACTCGATCCACTGTGCGGCATTGCCATATATTTGCTCTGGTTGTGACTCCTGTGAATTTAAGAGTCTAAAATAAGTTTTTTCCTCTTAGGCGCAGGCAAAGGCCCCAGTCCAAGAAGACGTAATTGAGAGTGTTTCAGTGGAGGAAAAACGGCCGGCCAGCGAGGAATCGACTGAAAGCAACGAGGTGTTTGTCTCCTTCCGGAGCCCAATGTTCGCGGATAAATCTCTCTCGAAGATGCTCAGCCACAAGGATAAGTTCGGCAAATCCACCAAGAAGTCCTCCGACCCTAAAGCCGAACCAGAGCCAATCGTCAAGTACATCACCTTCTCCGACAATAATTGGTTAGTTCTGTTCGTTTATCTGTTTGATGCAAAAAATGGGGGAAATGGGTGCCCTAGTAGCACATATTGAAGTGGGCGGATTATTGAAATTGATCCCCAAAGCTATGGACAAAGAAGAAAAAAGGGATATGGTGGGATCCTATTGGTAGAAAATAGACTGAAACTAACGGCAACCCCACGAGAGACCCTAAGTTGGTTCATCATTTCATTAGTCTATAGGAACTACTCATTGCCATATTTCGGATCGCTCGAAACTTCCTATGTCTCAATAACAATTTTTACAATTTTTTTCATCATAATTGACTCGTGGCTATTCCCGTGACGAAGTTTCCCTATGTCTTCTTTGTCCATCGCTTTGTCTATCAATTTCAACAATCGACCTGCTGTTCATTGCAATTACATGGTACAATGATTGCTTTTACAGGAATGTAATTTATGTTGTCTATTCACTTATTGAAGGGGCTCTTCTTATTTAAATATGTTGCAATCAAGTAAAGGAAGTTGCAATTTTTTGAAGTTGCAAATTGCCCACCTGTCTCTCGCATGAGAGTAATTTTATTGATCGTTTAAAATCGTAATTTATTGACCAAATGATGTAAAAATATTGCAATTTTGTCAAACAAATAAATGACAGTTTTATCGCTTTAATTCAGTGTGCTTAGGGAAGATTGAAAGGTAAACTAAGTCTTGAGGCAGATTTTGAAAACGGCTCTGTATTATAATTTGAAAATTTTAAATTCAAATCTTTTGGTATAAAATCTTTTCACTTCCTGATGAGCCTGGAAAGCATGTTTTTTTTTCACCAAAAGCAGAAAAAAATATTTAATTTACCTCTTCTTTACTTAAATAAAGACATAGGAGCGTAATTTTTGCCAAGACTGTATCCGGTACAACGCAACTTTAAATTACATGTGAACATGGGCTAAGTAATTTTAATTTAACTCTGGTTTTGTTACAATATTATATTTTGTTAAAAATCAAATAAAAGCCGGGTAAATGCATAGATTTTTCTCTCCCATACTCACATATTCCTGTAGAGAGCAAACGAGCAGGGTGAGGGAATATGAGCGTTTTTATATACTCAAAATTAAATTTAAATGTATTTGCGCCATTGCACCCCTACTGTAAGTGTTTAAAATTAATTATTTAAAGAACCAGGGCGTTGTATTAATTATGGATTACTTTATTTAGCTAAAGCTTTTCGACCTGGTGGTCATCATTAGGGTTTTCATTTCACATTCATATTTAATACATTCACATTTAATACTTTCACATTTAATGCATGCACATTTAATAAAATCGAATAAAAAAAAAAAATTAATACATTTCATAAAATGTGAATGTATCAAATATAAATGTGAAATGATAACTTTGATGATGACCACCAGGTCAAAAAGCTGAAGTTAAATAAAGTAATCAGTAATTAATACAACGCCTTGGTTCTTTAAATGAGTAATATTAAATGATGGTGTCGTTCGAGCACAACTATATAGAAATGAAAGTTTTTGAACCAAAAATGAAATCATTTTTTAATAGTGAGACGAATTTACAACGAGCTTACCACGCCCAAAATACCAATGCCACGCTTCTTTTCTTTTCAGGTTATCCGACTTCCCGAAGAAGATAGACGTCGCGGCCGCGAAGGAAGAGGACGATGACTCCCTCATGGCAGTCGAAGAGCCCGTCCCAGCAAGCTTCATCCCCTACGGACACACCCTCGAGGCAGAGACACCCGCGTCGAGACGCGAGAAGTACAAGATCTTCACCGACGCCGTTTTCGGGCGACGCAACATCTCCAGCAGCGACTCCTCTTACACGGACGCCAACAACCTCGCCCGCTCGAGACCAGCCCGGCACATCGACCTCAAGGCCAAGGAAGAGGCTCGCGAGAACTCAGTCCGCAAGACCCCCAAATTGAGCGACAGCATGTCCAAGTTGGGCCAATTCCTCGACGAGAACAGGATCCACCACATCCGCAAAGAGAGGATACAGAAGACCCACGCCGATGCCCCGATATTCGAAGAGCTAGAGAGCCAGGAGGCAGTCCCTGTCAGCACCCTCAAGAGCGAAGGGCTCAAGAGACTGAACACCATCGACACGAAGCACAAGGTGGAGCCAGAGCACAAACGGAAACCAAGGGGCTTATCTTTGCAAGACGAGTTCTTCATGAAGCTACTCCTGGATCTGGATCTCTACGAACGCATGGAGGATGACCAGAAACCCGAAGGATCGAGGACCAAAAGAGAAATCGCCCAGAGCGGGAAATCGAACTCCAACGCCCTCAAAAGCACCTACGACGAGTCGAAGGACAACATCTTGAGGATCATCCGTGAGGAGCGTGGAAGCAAGGTCAACGGCGGAAGACCGAAGCGAGCGCTATCTGACGAGCAAAAAGCTAAGCTTGAGAGCTATTTGAGCGAGGTCAGAGAGAAGTACGCTGTCGCTGCCGCTGCTGCGAAGAACAAGAGCGGAGAAAAGGTCTCAAGAGGCAAGCCTGAGAAGGTTAGTTTTGCGAGAGTAGAGAAATTGAGCTATGCCAGAGGAGGCGCAAAAGAAGAGAAGGTTGGTCGCGCCAGAGGAGAACCCAAAGAGGAAAGGGTTGGTCGTGCTAGGGTACCACCCAGGGAGGAAAGAGTTGGCTATGCCCGAAGACAGCAGGAGGAGAAGGTTAGTTACGCTAAGGACTCAGCTAAGGAAGAGAAGACACCGAAGGAAGACAACCTTGGATCCGCTTATGACGCGCCAAAAGAGGAGAAAGAAGCGACGCTGGAAGAAAGAATCAGCGCTGCCAGGGAAGCTGCCCTTGAAGAGAAACTTACCCGAGAAGCAGCACGAGAGGAGAAGCTCAATTCCATCAGGGAGGCTAAAGAAGACAAACTTGGACACCCGAAGGACGGAGAGCAAGAGGAGAAGCCAACAGAGGCACCGAAGGAAGAGAAGGTTGGCAAATCATCGACGAAAGGAGAAAAGGTTGGTTACGCCAGAGGAGCACCAAAAGAGGAGAGATTAAGCTATGCTAGGAGAGTGGGTGGCGAAGAAAAGATTGGTTCCACGGGGCAGCCCGCGAAAGAAGAGAAGGTAGCCTCTGGGAAAGACGCGAAAGAGGATAAAGTTTCACGCCCAAGAGTTGGATCCACGAAGGAAGAGGAAAAGGATGAATCAGAAGAACCAATTGTGTCTCCGATCAAGTCACGTCACGGAGTAGAAGGAACCCTCGGCGAGATCGCTCAGATCAGCAGAGAGAAAATCATGCAGGCCGTGAAAGAGAAGGCAGAGAATTTGATATCAAGCATGAGGAACAAAGAGGCCGCTCAAAGCGTCGGTGCGAAAGAGGCTAAAGAGGAAACTCCTGAGACGAAGGTGGAGGACAAACCCGCGAAATCTGAGCCTGCGGTCGGTGCCAGCAAGAAAGAATCAGAAAAATCGTCCAAGGAAGAATCGGCTACCGGCGCTGCTGAACGCATAGGATCGCCAAGAGTGCGATCATCAAGGGTGCGAGCTCAAACTCCGAAGGCAGGTGAGGAGAAAGAGACCGAGAAGAAGGACGGAGAAGCGAATAAAGTGGGAAAGGAGCGAGAGCCGAAGGTCGGCAAGGAACGGGAGTCCAACGTTGGCAAAGAACGGGAGTCCAAGGTCGGCAAAGAACGGGAATCCAAGGTCGGCAAAGAACGGGAATCCAAGGTCGGCAAAGAACGCGAATCCAAGGTTGGCAAAGAAAAGGAATCGAAGGCCGGCAAAAAGGACGACGAGAAGACGGAAACTGAGAAAGTGGGTAGCCAGCACTACAAAGTAGGCAGCGAGCGGGAGGACAAATCAGAGCACGAGAAAGAAAAGTCCGAATCCGTCGCGTCCGAGAAATCCACCGTCGCCGCAACGGAGGCCCAACCGGCGACGTCGAACAGCGAGCAGCCCGCTGAGACCGCGAAGCCGTCACGTTTGGGTAAATCCCGACGCGCGAAACGTGAGATGAATTCCTTCCAGCACAGCTTCCGCTACCCCTACACCGTGAAAAACTACGCTGACTACGCTGAATACATAAAAAAGGGAGCCATAGAAAGGATGGAGAGCTCGGTTTATGACGCCCCGAAAATGATCGATAGAGATCCAGTTTGGCGGACGAATATGCCCTCGAAATTGCATCAAATCTACCCCGGTTACTACGTCCAAGGTGCGCCCTCTAAAACAGAAAATGCCAGGTCGATCCATTCTGAAACCTTTCGTAATACTGTATCAAAAGTCCCCGTGGCCTCTAGCTTTCAATCCGAGTCATACGAAGCGTCACCTGAAGTTCCCTACAATCACAAAATGAGCAACAAGTTGTACTCCAATAAACCGAGTCAAAAACCAGGTAAAACGGTCGTAGTGCAAGTGTTCGACGAGAGCGGTAAGAAGATAGCCAACGAGGTTTATAGCTCGTTGCATGATTACCTTTACCCGGTTAACTACAATAAATATTTGGCACAGAATCTTCCCAGACCGAGCATCTCGAATGATGATTATCTGCAGACATTGGACTCGAAGTCCATCGACGACCCCAGCGTTGAACTCACCGCTGACGACTCCACGGAAAATTTCGCCTCCGACGCCGATAGGTCCATCAAAGAGCTGGTCAACGCGATGAACAAAATCATGGCCGGCGATCTGGCCGACGCAAAAGCCGCCACAGTGTACTCAACGGAAAACAGGGATTTTTCAAGGGCAAGCGAGTCAGCGGGTTCCTCAAGTGAGTCATCGGAACAATATGATGAGTCATCAGTATGCGTTAATGACGAAAGCAACGAGAGTGATGCACAACTGCAAGCCCCCCATGATGTTACCTCCACCACCCCTCAATTTCCAAAATCCGCAATTTTGACCTCAACAACTGCAAATCCTATCCCGATGTATAACCTCAGAGCATCCGGCTCTACCACTTTTCCACCTGGTATTTTGACCACCACCCCAGCTTACAAGTTCACAACAAAATTTGCCGACGAAATTTCAACCACCACTACGTCAACCCCTAAATTTGAAACCGCAACGACTGAATTCTCAAAAATCCCCTCCACGACAGCTTCCCCCTCAACGACCCCAGGGGATTTTTTTGGAACTACTTTGACCACCGAGACCACAGCAACATCCAGCAGCGATGAGATGACACTAATGACGTCACCGATGACCACCCCCACACCGAACGACCCCTCAACAACTTCGAAAGCACCGACGATATTTTTGCCCTACGAAGATGACTCAATCGGTCATTTATTGCGTTTCAGGCGAGAACTTCACTGGTTGAAAAATAACGAAATCACCTCAAAATCAAGCGAGAATCTGTCGACTGCCAAACCCAAGGACGACATCGAGTTGTTGACGAATGAGGTATTGACAACTGGCGCTGCCTTCATTAAAGAGACCAAACAGGCTTCGAAAAAAGATGACCCTGTATTCACGTCTGTCCTTCAAAAGCACTACGATATCATGATGTCCAAGAACCCCAAGTTTATGACGACGAAAAAAATGGACGTGTCAACAACCAATGATATCCAGTCCAGTTTTCCTAAAACTGATACCGTGATCCAGAAAATTGATAAGAAGATCCAGGAGCAAGTTGAGGCTGGGAAGAAAGGCTTATCACCAGAGGACGCTGCTAATGAGGCTTACGTATCGTTTTTGGCGGCCCTAGCAAACCAGCTGACCAATTTAATTGGTCAACTTCAGAACAGTTTTTTCTACAAGCAGGTAATGGGGATGTTCCAAACGTGAGGGTCACATTAGGTAATAATTTGGCTGGAATTTTGATGCGGTATTGTCAAAAGTTTTTAGAGTTTCTTACTCGTATTTCTTCGTAAACGTCTAATTTGCATTTTTTACTTCGTATTAATATACGAAAAAAATGAAATGAAAAAAATTCATCCTGATTAAGAATAATATACAAATAGAAATCTGTGCTCAGCACAAAAACCAAAAATATCAGTTTATCACATTATTTTCTTGCACCACGGAGGTTAAACTTAGAACTGCAAGTTTAATTTCACGAGCAGAAAATTTTGTTGAGATGTGAACGCATAACTGCATCAAGATTCCAAAGAATATATTGTTGTCATGCTGAGTGAGATTGAATCTAATTTATTAATGTTATTTCAAAACATTTTTTTAAATTGTATGTAAGTATTGTAAATATTTTTAAAATATAATTTTTATACGTTTATTTACGAGTTTTATCAAATACTTTTAACATTTGTTTTTATACTCAAACCCGTTATGAAAATGTAGCCCATAGATTTTACAACAATCAAGGGTTGTTCTTTAAGCTATAAATATTAATTTGAACCAATCAATATTTAGTTGCATGGCTTTGAGAATTACTATTTATTTATTTGAGAACATGTAGGTAATAATCATTGGAAAATACTTTAAAATCATCCTGAGATCATGTGCTAAAATAAATCTTGAGGAACGAATCACATAATTTTTGGAAGAAAAATGTTGAAAGTTTAAGGAAATTTTGGGGGAAAAATATTGCCAAAAGTGTGAAGATTATGAAAAATTTGATTCGTTTCGAGTGAGGTTTAGCTAAAATTTCCACAAGTTTGAATGTTCCTTTTTCAGATTTGATACCCCTTAAAAAGTCAATAATTTTAGGGAGAGACATATCAGGGTTAAAACTTTCAGCCTTTTTTCAGATTTTCCTGAGAAAAAGGCAAATATTTTGCTAAGTCCCAAAATTAAGCCGGCATTTTATAGTCCAGTCCAAGCAGTGGTATGAAATTTTCCTGCCGGAATATTGCAAAGGAAAAAAATGTGCTCCATTCCACCTGTTCGATGTTATATTGCTTGAATCAAATAAGAAACTATTTTGAAATAAAATTTGCCAGCCGCGAAAAATTCAGAGCTCCGGCTTCGGCCGGGATGAGCGGAAAATTCTCTCTCAAAATTTGCAACCATGGTCACGATCTGATGAGTCAAATAACAAATCAGGCGCATCAGTAGTGTGATTATTTCTAAGATGACGTAATACTCTCATGTTTTCAATAGCCCACCAGAGCCAGTTTGCAGAATACGTGAGGCATTCATTGTTTACGACGCCTCTGAAAAACTTCAGCGGTCCGTCGCGTCTTGACCCCTTTCGGATCTCAATTTTGAATTTAGCACTTGCAGACCTTTAAACCAATTTTTTTCCTCAACTGAAATCAAATATCTGAAGAAATAATTATCACTAAGACAAAAGATTGTGCGTTGATCAATTTTTGCACCGGTTGAATGCATTAGTGCTTGATGTGTTGAGTTTCGTCCTAAATTTTATCAAGTGTTAACGAACGGAATTTCGCAAAGCCATGATTTTGACTACTTTTGTGCCATGTGCGGAGTGTGACTGACAGAGCTGTGATCATATGAAATAAGGAGGAAAAAGGAAATATAAGGAACTTACTTCGAGTCTTGCCCTAAAATATTGAAAATTTGCAGGTAAATTTACTATGATGCTATCTGGTTGTCCCTAAAAACTTTGATGAACTCTGCGAAGGGTCGTACTCGTAGCTTTTAGGGGTAAAAGAGGCTGATGAATGTTAATTTTCTATGTGCACTGCGCGTGTTACATACGGACGGCGTAAGTCTGCAACCACGTATTTTGTTTGCGATGTTTGGAAATCTCTGCTCCTACCTCGTTTTTTCAAAGAGGTACAAATCTACATCATTCCTTGAAGTTTTTGCAGAATATTCCTGGCACTGAGAAGAAAAATTTCGGCAGTTTTTAAGAATTGCCGTTGAGTTGTATTTTATTGAAAAATAAAGTATGACAGGAAGTCTGCGACGTCGCAAACCGAGATACTTGGTTGCGGACTTACACCGTCGACATAGACGGTGAAGCTCTCCAACCACGTATCTTGGTTGGTGACGTTACAGACTTCCTGTCATTCTTTACTTTTTAAAAAGGAAACTAATCAACGTTCATTTTTTTTTCCTGTTCTGTGCGAAGAATCTCTAAGTACACTTCAGGAAATGGTGTTGATTCGCTCTCAGAAAAAAAATATTGCGAGTGGAGATCTTCAAACACCGCAAACGAGATACGTGGTTTGAAAATTTCACCGTCGATATGCGAAAAACATAGTTTTGGTACCAGCACGGATCTGTGAGGAAATTGCAGAATTCCGAAAGTGGCAACTTTCACTGCTGACAAAAGAAACCCAGCGCTAAGTCAAAAAATGCGTACCACAGAGTACCAAGAGTGTAGTTTATACCCATAGGTTTTATCTTAAAGGAAAAACAATCAACAGTTTTTACAAGAAGAGTCTGTGAATTTTCCATATTCATTCTAAAAATTATCACAAAAAATTCCAAGGAAACATCTTGATTAATTTTCCTTGAAGAAATTAAAACAAATCCGGATATTTTTATATTTTTATAATTTATGCGGTAGGCATTTTCGCATTCAGTCATCGATAGATAGGTTCATTCAGGTTGGACCTGAAAATGAGAGTGATGGGGTTCAGATTCCGGCCATTACCGGAAAATGTAGGTATTAAATACGATACCTGCTCATGATGCGTTAAAATCGGCAAGTACTCCCTGGTAAAAATTGGCGATAAGAGCTGCGTTTCAAAATACCATGGGAATTCTTTTAGCCGGCTAAAGAAGGCTACAGAAAATCATGTACCTGGCTGTAGAATGCGGAGAAAATCGTACGGCCGGGCTGTACGAAGCGATAAAAAATTATACAGCCGGGCAATAGTTCCTATCGCCGGGCTTTACGCTTTATCGCCTGGCTGTTGCTTTTTCGCCATCGATTATAAAAGGCTATTAGAAATTTTGTAGAAATTCGTGTGCTTTGGAAATCATCAAGTTTGATATGGAACCACCTTAATATTTACAAAACACACATTATATTTTCCTTTAACACATATTTTTTTTCATCAATTAAAATGAGAATAATCCATACAGGATGTGCAAACATTTAAAAATCATGAGTTGAATAAGGCTGACTCCGCCAGATTATATATTAGAGCCTAACATAAAGCGGAGCGGCGACGCACTGGCGCCTACAAACCTAACAGGGATACTTCACGCATTGCGCAACGCGTGAAGTATCCATGTTAGGTTTGTAGGCGCCAATGCGTGTTTCGCGTTGGCTGCCCACCTGCCACGGCGCTTGAAGCAACTATTTCACACCAGAGGTATTGCACAGTATCATACGAAACTGAAGGCGCTCTAATATATTAGTAATGACAGGCATCCATCAAAAGTACGGAGCTTTCCTCGCAAAATAAATCAAGATACTACGGCCTAAAAAGAGAGCAGTATTCCAAAAACTCACTAAGTCCTAGCATCCGTAATTAGTATAACGTGCAGCATACACGTTATCGCCTGGCTGTTGCTTAATCGCCATCGGCTATAAAAGGCTATAAGAAATTGTGTAGCCGGTTGTAGAAGCTATTGGAAATCTTACAGCCGGCTGTAGGTCTATGGTATTTTGGAACACAGATTCTACTGCCAATTTTTACCAGGGCTTACTAACGGTGGTCTAATACTTAAAGTTTCTGCTCATAAGCATAAAGTTTTTGTGGCAGAAAATCGTGTGAACACCCGTGTTCTTTTAATGAATACTAATCGAGTTGATAATTTACATATCGATGGTGAAAGTACGAGACCACGTATCTCGTTTGCGGTGTTTAAAAATTTCCCCTCCCATTTTATTTTTTTAAAGGAGAACAGATGAATATCATTCCTGGAAATTTTCACAGAATTTTCTTTGTGCAGAAGAGAAAAACCATGGAAGTTTTCGAGAACTTACATAAATTAGTTTTCCATTTAAAAAAAGAAGTATGGCAGAAAGCCTACAACGTCGCAAACCCATATACGTTGTCTGGTAGTTTCACCGTCGATATATTGTGTGGCCAGTGCTTTTTTCCCGGCAATATTTTTAACAAAATCAAAAGTAAATGTATAATGCATTAAAAATCAATAATTTTTAATGGATTTATACGGTTCGAAGTTACCTAATGCCGTCATCGTTTGCACATGTGATAGCGCAGTCAATCAGTTTCAAATCTTCCTCAAATTTTCAATACATTTTAATGATTCTGGCCTCTGATTTATCGCAAAGGATGTTGATGCCACTCAATTAAAAGCCTCTCGATAAGTGACTTTTGAAAGAAAAAGCGAGATAAGTCCCTACTTCAGAGAGCATCCAATTGAGAGGCTCGGAGGACAGGGCGCATAAGTGTAGTTTTTGCCATTTCAAGAAATACTTGTTCGAAGTTTCGAAATTACATGGATCCTAATGCTACCGTCTTAAGAAAGAACGCCGTAAATCCATCAAGATTTTCCCTCGTTTTTTGGGACTCTAACACTTCACAAAATATAAACCGCAGGGCCGGATTTACCTACTTGCCGCCCATGGGCCGCCTGTATTTTTCCGCCCCCTTCTCATTCCTTAAGTGAACGTGCCGATGGGGGAGGGATGTATGAGACGCGTTTACTCGTGTTGGGCACATTTTTTGTGTAAGCCCTGTCAACACCAACAAAAGTTCACGGAACTTTACGCAAAAGTTAAGTGAACCCGTAAACCCATCCCTGTTTAGACAAGGCCTTCCATTTATAAGAAACGAACTGTAAGAACAAACATAAATGTGGTTTAATAATTTTAACCTCCGTATTTGGCACAATGCGTGCGAAGTATTCATGCAGTCTCGTAGGCGCTATGCGTTTCACGTCGACCGCTGGCACCGCGGCGGACCACACTGTTTGACGCAATGCGTGAAGTATTCATGCAGTCTTGTAGGCGCTAAACGTTTCATACCGACCGCTGCGCCGAGGGCTTCTCCTTTCTATCTCAGTTCTCGTCATCATTGCTCTCTGCGCCGCTCCGCTCAAGGTCAAATTGCGAGTTTGGTTTCTCACTTAACTGATTAAAGGTGTTATCTCTTGTATCACCAAGAGACAACAAAATTAGAAATTACTGTACTTTTACTTTCAGGAAACCAGAGATTTTGTCGCCTTTTCTCGTTTGTAATTCATTTTCTGAATCCGATTTTTTCTTCTTTTTTTGATACCTACATTCAAAGAGATTGCAAAATTTGCCGCCCCCCACATTTTGCCGCCATGGGTCGCGGCCCATGTGACCACCCCCTTAATCCGGCCCTGATCTTAGTTAGGAAATTTCAGTGATTTTCGTTGCGCGAATCGTGTTCTACGTAAAAGGATGTGTCGCATAAAGGGAAGTTTTTTGGCCCAAAAGGTTTTCGGATTCTAGCATGATGATCTTTCAAGTTAGGCCCTAAAACATTGAAAAATGCCCATGTTAGCTGAGTTGGATGTATATTTCAGGAATAGTAGGCGTTCGTAGTTTACTGATCATAGAAATAACACGATTCTACTAAAAAAAAAAAAAAAAAAAAAAAAAAAAAAAAAAAAAAAAAAAAAAAAAAAATCAGAACATCAGAAGTTCAGAGATGACCTTAGCTTTTTCCCTCCACCCATTATCTATCTGTCTTATAAGGCTTTTCGTTAAAAGAATGGATTTTTTTTGTTTTGGAAAATTTGCATGCAACTTTTTTAGAAAAAGGGCACAAGATACAAAAGAACCATCCAGCGGGCAAGATTACGTATGGCGAGAAGAGTCGTATGCCTAGACAATTTTCCTCGTATTATCTAGATACAACGAGGTTTTTCGGTCAAACGGTCTGACCCTATAGTACTATTTTTAATCGAGGCGTTTGTTGTTTTGTAGGCGTTGTAAGAAAATAACTATATTTTGCAATGAGGAACTAAGACATCTGGCTCCGTTTAAAAAAAAACTTTTGTGCAATTAGTTTCCTTAAACACATAAGTTTTTTTTACAGATGAGCCCGAAATTGTAGCTCCAAATTACATTATACAGTCCAATTATTTACTCGGCTGCAAAAGGAGGCTATTCAGTGTCTCCACATACCTCATTACCGAAAACGATCTCAGTTTTTCTGCACCATTTATAATTATTTACCCAGAAAATCAGACTTTTAAAAAGTTCCCGTTCCACGATTTTTCAAGCTTTTCTCTGTATTTATTTCTTAAATTGATGCTGTCATAGTTTTGTGCGCGGATCTATTTCGAGATGTAAACAAAATCGCCAATATTTTGCCGTCAAAATTGGCAATGCAGCCCAACCTCACACCGACATTTATTAAATTGCATCCTCTGATTGGCTTTTATCTACCCGGGTAAAAATTGGCGATAGGAGCTGCGTTTCAAAATACCATAGGAGCTAAAGGAGCCAACTAAAGAAGGGAAAATTATATAGCTGGCAGTAGAAAGCCGAGAAAATCATACAGCCGGGCCATACGAAGCGATAAAAAATTATGCACCCGGGCTATAGTTCCTATCGCCGGGCTATACAGATATTGCCATCGGCTACTAAAAGCTATGAGAAATTGTGTAGAAATTCGTGCGCTTTGTAAATCCTTAAGTTTGTACGGAACCACCTTAGTATTTACAAAACACACATTATATTTTCCTTTAATACATATTTTTTTTCATTAGTTAAAATGAGAATAATCTATACAGAGTGTGCAAACATTTCAACATCATGAGTTGAAAAACGCTGACACCGCGAGATTAAAGATTAGAGCCTAACACAAAGCGGAGCGGCGACGCACTGGCTGCCCGCCCGCCGCGCGGCGCCGCAGCGTGCCACGGCGCTTGAAGCAACTATTTCACACACAGTATCATACGAAATTGAAGGCGCTCCAACATATGAGGAATAGCAGGAAACCTTCAAAAGCACGGATCTTTCCTTGCAAAATTACTTTATCGCCTGGCTGTTACTTTTATGCCATCGGCAATAAAAGGCTATAAGAAATTGTGTAGAAATTCGTGTGTTTTGTAAATCCTTAAGTTTGTACGGAATCACCTTAATATTTACAAAACGCACATTTTTTCCTTTACTACATATTTTTTTTCATCAATTAAAATGAGAATAATCCATACAGAGTGTGCAAACATTTCAAAGTCACGAGTTGAAAAACGCTGACTCCACGAGATTAAATATTAGATCCTAACACAATGCGGAGCGGCGGCGCACTGGCGCCTTCAAACCTAACAGGGATACTTCACGCATTGCGCAATGCGTGAAGTATCCCTGTTAGGTTTGTAGGCGCCAATGCGCGTTACGCGCTGGCTGCCCGCTTGCCACGGCGCTTGAAGCAACTATTTCACACCAGAGGTATTGCACAGTATCATACGAAACTGAAGGCTCTCTTAGATATTAGTAATGGCAGGCAACCATCAAAAGTACGGAGCTTTCCTCGCAAAATAAATCAAGATACTACGGCCCAAAAAGAGAGCAGTATTTCAAAAACTCACCAAGCCCTAGCATCCGTCATTAGTAACGTTCAGCATACACTTTATCGCCTGGCTGTTTCTTAATCGCCATCGGCTATAAAAGGCTATAAGAAATTGTGTAGCCGGCTATAGAAGCTATTGGAAATCTTACAGCCGGCTGTAGGTCTATGGTATTTTAGAGCATAGATTCTACTGCTAATTTTTACCAGGGAAATATTTTAATGTATCCTGGGTACCAATTACTTACATTTCAGGAATTATCAATAAATTGACAGACACGCATAACCTTGTCGAAGGAAAACGCTATATATGCAAGTGCATGTTGCCAAATTTCTCTCGAAAAAGTACTATTTTTTAGGAAGCTATGAATATTTTTCTTTGTCATTAGCAGGCAATTTTGAATAAAATTGCGAACAAACTTCTCTGAAAAATTGATATAAAAAATTCAAAATTTCCTCCAAAAATATGTGTTTTTTCAACGCAAATTTGGCAAAAATAATAGTTTATACGACGTTTATCTTCAGCAGAGAAGCGTATTTTTCACTCGTAAACTACAAACCCTCCTTTGTCGCAAGATGACGTGGATGGTGCAACATCAGTGGAACGGTTGGAGCGTCGCATCGATTAGGAACAGAGTCGTTGCTAGTTCGCCTTCAAATTATGCGATGCAACCAATGTCTCAGCGAAGTTAATTAAGTTGCATCCACGACCATTGGCCATTGGTCTGTGCTGAATGTTTCTACGCATCTTCAGGTGGACATGGGCAGTATATGAGAGGGATTCCCAGGAAGACTTTAACGCAAAGCTAGAAACCTTAGAGGTCACTTTTAAACCTTAATTCCCTTAGGCTGATTCTGGTTCATATGATTTATTGATGTGTATTATTTTAGTATGGACGTGGGAAGTTTAAGAGGGACTACCAAGGAGACTTTAACGAACGGGTAGAAACATAAAGGTCGCTTAAAAGTTGTCATTTCCTTAGACTGATTTTGGGTCATGTGATTGATTGATGTTTAAATTGTATGTTTGGGAAATGAGGACTTTCTGCTCACCAGGGAACACTCTAATAATCGAACATTTTTCACATGTTTAAATGCCGGATGGATCGATTCACCGCAAAGCACGACTCACCACTTTCAATGCGCACTTTTAGCGGTTTTAAAGTGTACATTTTCGTCCATGATTCCTAATGTTAATTTTTTATCCGGTTGCAGAAAAATGAAAAATGAACGTGCATTTTGCATACTCTGGCTGGTGTGTGCCTATTTTACCGAAAATATATCATCACTTAGTCTACGAATGTTGGATAATTCATATAGGTAAGTTTGTGAGCATATTAGTTTGTTATCTCAAATCTTTAAACTTTCAAAGACAGGTCACGCTGTTGAGGTTGACAGTGAATAGGAAATTATACATGAGTACTTTTTCCAGTTTTACAAGGAGTCAAACTTATATTGCGGTTCATCCGAATTTACTCCGTTCAATTATGACTTCCTTTCCTAGAAAGTGGTCGTTTCAGGGTGACCACGACCCCATTTTTGGATCAAAATTTCCTACTTGCTCGAAGAAAAAACAAGGAAGTCCGTCACAGTTCGAAAACTCACCCATCTCGTTGAAAAATAACACATGTGGAATAATTTACGATTTTATCTGATCAGGTGTATTTTCTCTCTTTTCACTGATAATGAGTTACGTTCATTTTCGTGACAAGTTTTTAAGATTTCACATGTTTTATTTTTCGACCCGATAAAAATATGCAGTGAGTGACTAATGAGAAATACTACTTTGAAAATGAAGAAATTGATCGTGCATTCGGCTTAAACTGTAGAAACTTCAGTATTTATCAATTTTTTTAATAAAAATTAAATCGTCAAAAATGAGAAAAATCATGGTTCCAGACTATTTTAAGCTTCTACGGTTGTGCACTCGATTATTCAAATATTTAATATACTTATTTTTTTAATACCCTCTAGTCTTAATTTCATAGATAGTCACTCGGAGGAGGCAAGTGAGGTCATTCTTTGGTTTCCTCCATTTTTAAGCATATAAGTTCATTTTTGGGATTTTTATTTTCCAGATTTTCACCAAGAGCTTACAGGAGAATCTCACATCTTTCAGAGGAAACGAGATCAAACCAGAAACAAAAAAGACACATAAACCCGCTGAACAAGTCACCCCCTGTGGACGAAATTCCAGCTGTTCAAATCTTACCGCAAGACAACACCGACACGAGCATAAAAAATCTCGAAGCGATCGTCGCAGAATGCCAAAAAACACCCATAAAATCATGCCAGGGTAGCTACGTACCGCGCGCCTATTTCACGGACTTCGACATCCCTTACGACGAACCGAAAAAGGCCATAGGGGAAAACGCGATAGACGCAGAAGAAGAGGCGAAAGAGAAGCAAGAACGACAGCTGATCCCTAAACTGCTGGATCAAGACTCATTGGAGAGACAACTGGTGAACCCTGTTGTATTCGTTGACCAGAACCTGATTACAGACATCATCCGGGATCCGTCCGTCGAGGACATCGTCTTCATCCGGAAAGAGGTCCAAGATCGCGATCTCGAGGCCAGCGTCAAGAATCGATGCGAGAACGCCGCGAAGCAGTTGCATATCTTGAAAAAGCTGGTCGCGATTCGCGAGGACATCCGGCAGAAGAACCGGCGGTTAATAGACCGGTTCCCTACTCCTGATCAAATTCCGTCCTTCGCAGATCGGGACTTCATTCCGGAAAACCGGTTCCCGGAGACCACTGACCCTTCCGGTGTCAAGGTCTTGCCCGACGAAGCAGGAATCGACTCATCGACTACCACGGATGATGTTTCAACCACGGCTACGGTAGACGTCACCGATTTGATAATCTCTGACTCGACCGATGGCGCGTCGACTCAGCACCCGACGGATGTTGAGTTCATAATTCAGACGGAGACTACTACATCTTTGACGGAAGTGACGTCATCAGATTCCACCACCGATCCAACGGAATTGACGTCTGATGTGACCGAAACGACCGGAGGCGAACGGGATCTCGATGGTGTCAACGAGTCAACGACGGAGTCAACCGTTTCCACAACGGCGAGTTCGGAGATCACATCACTGGGCACCGACATTTCAACGGACGAGTCAACAGTGACAACGGACGAGTCAACAGTGACAACGGACGAGTCAACAGTGACAACGGACGAGTCAACGGTGACCACGGATGCGACAACGGACGGAACGTCAACAGTAGGGACTGAAGTTACTGAAACGCCGTCAGAAACGGATGATACCACCACGCAAACAAGCGGAACCGATGTGACGGATTCTAGTCCTATCTCTGAGGGAACGACTGATAGCTCAACTACACTCGAAGGATCAACAACGCAAGATCCGGTTTTTGATCTCAAACGGTTGGATACCGAGGTGTCTACCTCAGACTCAGAAACGACAACGGATGAGACAGAAACTTCAGGTACAGAAAGTACGGCCAGCTCTATTTTAGACACATCAACTGAAGTCACCTCTCCCACCGATTCTGAAACTTCAACTGGCGATCAAAGCACCGACTCTGAAAAAGGCATCGACATAACGACTGGGGTGCCACTGGTCTACACCACCTTGCTGCCACCGACCGCGAACGGAGGTTCACCGTATCACGAGGAAGTCTCCATCAGTAATCACACTAAGCTGGAATTCGAAGAACAAGTAAACGAGACGATCATCGATGATTTCGGCCCTGGTTCGGGAGCTAAACCAGTTTCTGATTCTGACGCAAAGCCAGGTGAATCTAAACTCACTCACGTAGATCAGAAAAAGCCACCCGTGCAATCAGATGACCTAAAAGCTCCTGCGAAGGGTTCTGGAGATCCCAACGGGAAACTCCTGAGGCCTTCCTCAAGTTCAGTAAGTTCCAAACCGGGAGGTCCAAATAAAAGCCCAACTACAACCAGCACGAATCAGCAAAAGGTCTCACCTCCTAAAAAACAAACCGCGCCCGGGAACCAAGTCTCTATCGACGGCAATAAAGTTATTCCCCTTCCCGCTGATAGCTTGCAACCAGATGACGTCACCAAAAGGGGATCAGGACCTGGAGTCAAAGGACCGAAGCCTGGAAGTTCCGAAAAAGGCACTTTGAAGTTCCCGGACTTACCAAAGGTCGACGTCAACACTTTGAACAAGAACACGCCGTTGAGTGACCTCGCTTTATACTTGAGCCAGAAAAACAACACAGCAAGCGCGGCCCTGAAGGACAAGATCGACCACGCATTCCACCACGCAGAGGTCAACGTGCCCTTAGACCTCGGTCCTTTGACCTCTGACAAACTAGAGGAGTCGAATAAGAGCAAGCTAACGCAAAAAGAGCTTAAAAATAAGATCGAACTCGCGGTGCCCAACGCAATAGTCGCCGACGGTCTCGTCAACACGTTCTTTATAATTTTATTGAGCAACAACGCGACGAAACTGAACTTGGAACGGTGGACCGAGGACCAGCCGGCCATCGAGGTGGACGACCTGTGCGTTCCGCTCTACGAAAACGGGACCATCCACGATTTCCTGTCGATAACGCGGTTGTTGAAGGGAACGGTCTATTTCAAAAATTCCCGCTCTAAGGTCCCGATTCGCATCAAGCGCAGCGCCGATAGGAAATGTTGGTCGTTGAACAAGTACGATATCCTGAAAAAGGGCGAGCCTGTCTCTACCCTCGTCAAGCGGACCCCGTCTGGACCACCAGCTCAGCCTGCGAACGGAATCCGGAATGGACCTACAGGGGCTCAGTTTAGGTCTGAGCCAGTTTTCAGGAGAGAACCTATTCAATACGTAGGTGAAGGAGTTGGACCTAGTTTTGGACCTGCACGACACCAGCAGAGTCTTAATAAAGTGGTGTCGTACCCAGCTCAAGGGGTATACTACACAAATGAACTCGTCCCTGAGAGGAGACTTTATGACTCAAGTTTATATCCCGGTCAGGTAAATGTACCTATGGCCCTTAATAACCAAGGGGTCCAGTTCGGGAACAAACCTAGTCCTATTGGTCAACCTCCACAAATAATGGGGAATTTTGAGCCACGGGGGCCGCGATACCCAAGGGAGCCGAGTTCCTGGGGTGAGCCTCCCCCTTTTCGAGAGGGTGATGATGCGGAGGCCGCTGATAAGGTGAGTCATTTGAGTCAGGCTGAGGAGAATAAGCTGCTAAGACAGTTTTTTAGGATGAAGAAAAGTATCAACGCCGAGTTGGACTCCTTCATCGAGGAGCCCGTTCTGATGTATAGAAAACCGAATTTTGTAAATAAAAGTACAAGCTGACAAAAATGAATTTTTGCGTGATTTTTTATTTTTCATTGCTGGCGAGTGGTGCTTTCATGGTAATACAGTAGCCGACGAGTCTTTTGAGTGACCTGTAATCTTGCATTTGAGCAAACTGTGAAGCAAAAAGTTTGATTTGAAAAAATCAACAGTTATTTAGTTTTTCAACAAATCTTTCGCACCTAAGAATTATCCATGGATATATTCTTGATGGAGAAGAAAGGTATGTTGTTCTGATCAATGATTCATGATTTTATTTCACAATGGTCTTGAAGCAAAAAAATGGGATAACAATGTTCCCAGAAACGATTTGCAGTCTATGGTATAGGTGTGGACTTGAAATCGCAAAAAATCAAAATCTTGGCTGATCCTGATTTCAAGATATCGCAATTTGAAAAGTTCATAGTAAATGTAAGTTTCCTATTGGATTCGATCCACTATTTTATTTACTTGTCTGTTGAGTCGGTGTTGAGTGGTTCACGTTTCTGATTTTTGTTCGATTCATTTCGAACGAATACATGACCTTTTGTTACATGCACACTTCCTTTCATACTCTTTTTTGAACTGAACAATTGGCCTTCTGGTGCGTCTGCGGCAATTGTTGTTACGATTACGTCGTGCATGCTGATTTCAGCTCAGTGCACACTTGACTCTCTTAAGGCGTTTTATGTGCGAAAGCATTTCGCCTTCAGTTGCATCTGCAGCAATTGTTGTTACGAATGAGTTGTGCGTGCTGATTTCAGCTTATTACATACTCGACTCACTGAAGGCGTTTTATGTGCATAAGTAGCGCAATCTGTTGGAGAACGACCGAAGTAGGGGTTGAGCGATTCATTCAATCTCACTTCTGTTGTCCTCCAACAGGGTGCTCCACTTTCGCACATAAGACGCCTTCAGAGAGTCAAGTATGTATTGAGCTGAGATCAGCACGCACAACTTATTCTTAACAACAATTGCTGCGGACGCAGCTGAAGGCGAATTGAAAAGTTATGAGTATTTAGAGCTCTTTTTGTCGCAAGTTTTAAGATTTCTTAAAGCAACTATGAGCATTGCTGCATTGAAACCAATGATAAAACCACTACAAATGGGAAAACCAGAAAATCCCGATTCTAGGGTAAATAATAACGTAATTTGGAGGAGAGGGGGGGGGGCGTTAGAGAGTCCGAAGTACGTATCAGGTACACACATTGTTCGGCATTTCACGATAGTTCAAATTGAATACAATCTTTTTTTGCGCTCAAACCAACATGTAAAACGCTAAAGTCAAGAAAATCCTGAAAATACCCCAATTTGATCCTTTCCCCCTCCCTTGGGTTAACCACAACTCGGATTCATGGGAACTTTTTTGTAAGCGTTCTTTAAACCCAAATGAATACTTTAAAACAGTAAAACCGTGTATCTCAATTATTCCCGCTATTCGTAGAATTTTGATCCGCCACGCATCTGGACTATAAGTCAGTTCTTCATTTCACAAGAACTGCATTTCAAAATCGAGAATTTCAACTGAGAGAAGAAAAACAATGAAACGTTTTGAAAAAAAGGAGTTTTTGAGCAAAGCATTCTGATTCATGTCTTAGCTATTAAGATGAAACTTGAAGTTGATTTTCATGACACAGTCTCTTGAGTTTCAGGTATTCAAACACTTCTACAAAGATTAGACAGGGCATATTTACTTGGTGTGCATTGCCCACTTGCAATTCTTTATCATGGAGTACTTAAGTGACTATATCATTTGAGTGTTTGACGGCTACATTATTTGACGGCTTAAATATAAACAGACCCATGATTTTTTTTAACTTTGACACAGGATTGTTTGAAGTATCCAATTTCTTCGCACGATCAAATTAAAATTTTGCGTATGATGAGTCATGGATTGGACAGAATTAAATCGAAACGCAAGAGGTTTGCTGGTTTGCTCTTCGGAATTATTTGACAAAATTTCAAGGAACCTCGTTAAAAACAATTAATTTCAATTGAAAATTTTGGATTTATATAACCTGCAGCATGTTTAGTTGCTTATTTTTAAGCATCGAAATGAAGTTTGCTACGAGAGGTATTTTTTTTACTAGTTTTTGCTGACAAGGCTCTGCAGTTGGTCCGTTTGCAGATTCACAGACATTTGAAACTGAGTTCAAAGAAAAGAACCAAGTCCATCCTTCTCATGAAAAATTTTACCTAATAACTAACTAGCACACCACTCGTCTATAAAAAATTTAAGATTCGTTCTCTGGTTATTAGTTTTTCTGTCCTCCACAGGCGCCTTTTCCGGAGGACATAAACTTGATGTGCCTACGTAAAAGTATATTCGCTAATGACAACATTAGCTGCCACCAAGCCAAAGAGACAGGCATTGCTAGCTTATGTCAAAAATATAATAGGTCAATCTTTTGAGTCCGCTAAGTTTAAGCGCTGTAATCCAATCAGCAGTATGAGGAGTTTAATTTGAGTTGAAAACGGTGTTGTTCCAATAAACCCTCTCTTATTATTTCGGCGCATACTTATTATTAAAACATCAGATGAGGAGCTTCAAAATTTTCATTCGCACGAACTTCCACCCTATCCACTCTCGCTATTTACCGCAGCAGATGTAATGAGTAAAGTTACAATGTCCACATTTTATAATGCATTTATACCGTGTCATGGCTCCCTATGCACCTCACTGCCTCTTGATCTATCCACTCGTCAATCTCTTCACTTCTCTGCATTTCATAGTCATTTTCCAAACATTCAGTATCTTCTGGATCATCTACGTCATCTCCATCTTCTTCCATTGAAAGTGCGTCTTATTGACTATTTTCGAACGAGCCATGTCAATACCCGCAAACAAGGCTGCAATGAAGGCCTTTCTTCCAAAAACCGCGGGTGCCGCGACTTTCATCAATGTACTTGCAGGAGATCTTGCTTAAAATTTCGGCCGTAGCGAGATTTTTCAAGGTAATGATGGGAATTAGGCCATTTCTGCTATTCTTCCACCCCCAGTCACACGCGTATTTCTTGATGCTCATCCATTGTTATGTACTTGAGGATAGGAGCATGAAATGTGGCAACGTCCTCTGAAGGTGGAAGACGAGCGAGATTTTGTACATAGTGGAAAAAAGTCGGAACATAGCTTTCATACCTAAATTCAGCCAAAGTTTTCTCTGCTCACCCTTGAAGCCATATAATCGGAGTAAAAATTATTTTCCTGCTTTAGAAATTTCTTCTCGCTTTGAGGCTGATTTTTTAAGCATCTGAGCTGCTGGTTCACTTATTAAAGCTGAGTTGTTCTCCAGGTTTTGCTAAAAATTTAACTTTGACTTGCCTGGAGAGTGGTGGTGTTGAGTGATGATGTTGTGTCACACCCACTAATGGCATGAATGAGCAGTATGTGTTCGGCTTTCACTCCATTTTGAAGGCTACCTCGGTTGAAAAGTATTTAAGGAGTCTCACCTTTGCCTGATTTTAGAGGGAAAGCATTTTTGACGTTATTTGGCTGAGCTGTAAGGAGGACAAGGAGGTCAATATATTTTCCTACAATGACAGCAATTTCGCCCTGTTTTGCCATTTCCAAGGCCTTTAAAAGTTTGATTGTGTCAGTGACCTCTTTTGCTTGAAATACAGACATGGTTTCTGTCCTGAAACTTTTCATGAGCCTTTGGATCAAACAGGATTTGTTTTTGCCGTTTTTCAGAAAATTTGCTTGTGATGTTACTGGAACCATACTTTTATGGAATTTTATTTCCACTGATGAAGCTTGTCCTCTTCGCCATCTTCCAGGTGTTTTCGTGCTGCATCTTGTAATATCCTTGGGATAGCCGCCGAAAACGATCACAGAATTAGCGGAATACACACGGTCGTTGCATATTGATGAAAATGCCTCATTTTGTCTCCAAAGCACTCGATGGAGCAAAAAACTGAAATTTATGACAAAAGTAGGATTCTTGTCATCAATTTTATCTACACACGGTGTAAATGTAAAAAAAACATACCCTAAAAATGTGGAATACGAATGCCGTCTGCTAAGGTTACAAAAGGGTCATCTGATTTTTTATTAACAGTTATGCACCGAAATAATAAGAATGGTTTCATTGGAACAACATAGTTTACAACTCAAATTGAGGACACCGCACCATGAACAGCCTATAGGCGTATAGGTCGTTATTACGCCCATCCGCTTTTCGGATTCTACTTACCCTGGACTATGCTGTGGTAGCGATAGAATATAGATAGGTAACGGCTCGAGGTCGAAAAACCTTTTTTTTTCCGAGTTAAGTCAGGCCTCTGGATCGATGGGTGCAAGAACGACCTATAAACGGGCCTAAAAACTTAAGGGCCTAAGGTGCTAGTTATCCCTTTCTTTACTCACTATCGATATTCTTTCATTTTGCGTTAATCATGCGTGATTAAAATGATTTAAACTTCATATTGCCACCAAAATAACCGTTGGGCGTAATAGGCTGTTCTTGAAGCGGTGTTCTCAATTGAAATAGCCTTCATACACGCTGGCCTTGTCGATTTCCTTTGACATTTTAGCAGTCGTGAATGCATAGCTGAAGTGCGCTCCAGCTAGAATTGTACTTAGCAAATGGGTGGATTTTATACGAGGATTAAAATCGCTGTTTTGAAAACGCCTTCAGACGCGGCGTAATACCTCACGCGTTCCGGAGAGTTCAAATAGTTGTATCGTTGCGGTAAGAATGTAACGGAAGATTAACAAGCTGCTGGTTCCAACACTACTGTGTTGGAGAGCTCGCCTTTGGGAAACTATTAACAACTATTAATGATTTTTTCTGAAATTGTATATGTATTAAATGAATCTTTACCCAATCATCAGAGGTTACATGCCGATGCAAAATGTTATGACGTAATTTCATATGACAAATTTTTCACATTACAATAAATAAAGAGAAATAAAGAGAGAGAAATGGAATTATCTTTTATGAATGTGATTTTGCGGCAAATGTTGCAATGGCTATTTTTGCCATCGCATTTTTGTTTCTGGCTTTCATCGTTGATAAGCTTTTTCTTAAC